ACACACAAAAATCTCTTGCATTCCTATACACTAACAATGAGAAAACAGAAAGAGAAATTAAGGAAACAATACCATTCACCATTGCAACAAAAAGAATAAAATACTTAGGAGTATATCTACCTAAAGAAACAAAAGACCTATACATAGAAAACTATAAAACACTGATGAAAGAAATCAAAGAGGACACAAACAGATGGAGAAATATACCGTGTTCATGGATTGGAAGAATCAATATTGTCAAAATGGCTATACTACCCAAAGCAATCTACAGATTCAATGCAATCCCTATCAAACTACCAACGGTATTTTTCACAGAACTAGAACGAATAATTTCACAATTTGTATGGAAATACAAAAAACCTCGAATAGCCAAAGTAATCCTGAGAAAGAAGAATGTAACTGGAGGAATCAATCTGCCTGACTTCAGACTATACTACAAAGCCACAGTCATCAAGACAGTATGGTACTGGCACAAAGACAGAAATATAGATCAATGGAACAGAATAGAAAGCCCAGAGATAAATCCACGAACCTATGGTCACCTTATCTTTGACAAAGGAGGCAAGGATATACAATGGAAAAAAGACAACCTCTTTAACAAGTGGTGCTGGGAAAACTGGTCAACCACCTGTAAAAGAATGAAACTAGAACACTTTCTAACACCATACACAAAAATAAACTCAAAATGGATTAAAGATCTAAATGTAAGACCAGAAACTATAAAACTCCTAGAGGAGAACTTAGGCAAAACACTCTCCGACATAAATCACAGCAGGATCCTCTATGACCCACATCCAAGAATTTTAGAAATAAAAGCAAAAATAAACAAATGGGACCTAATGAAACTTAAAAGCTTTTGCACAACAAAGGAAACTATAAGCAAGGTGAAAAGACAGCCCTCAGACTGGGAGAAAATAATAGCAAACGAAGCAACAGACAAAGGATTAATCTCAAAAATAAGCAACTCCTCCAGCTCAACTCCAGAAAAATAAATGACCCAATCAAAAAATGGGCCAAAGAACTGAACAGACATTTCTCCAAGGAAGACATACAGATGGCTAACAAACACATGAAAAGATGCTCAACATCACTCATTATCAGAGAAATGCAAATCAAAACCACAATGAGGTACCATTACACACCAGTCAGGATGGCTGCTATCCAAAAGTCTACAAGCAATAAATGCTGGAGAGGGTGTGGAGAAAAGGGAACCCTCTTACACTGTTGGTGGGAATGCAAATTAGTACAGCCACTATGGAAAACAGTGTGGAGATTTCTTAAAAAGCTGGAAATAGAACTGCCATATGACCCAGCAATCCCACTTCTGGGCATACACACCGAGGAAACCAGATCTGAAAGAGACACGTGCACCCCAATGTTCATCGCAGCACTGTTTATAATAGCCAGGACATGGAAGCAACCTAGATGCCCATCAGCAGACGAATGGATGAGGAAGCCGTGGTACATATACACCATGGAATATTACTCAGCCATTAAAAAGAATTCATTTGAATCAGTTCTAATGAGATGGATGAAACTGGAGCCCATTATACAGAGTGAAGTAAGCCAGAAAGATAAAGACCATTACAGTATACTAACACATATATATGGAATTTAGAAAGATGGTAACGATAACCCTATATGCAAAACAGAAAAAGAGACTCCGATGTATAGAACAGACTTGTGGACTCTGGGAGAAGGCGAGGGTGGGATGTTTCAAGAGAACAGCATTGAAACACGTATATTATCTAGGGTGAAACAGATCACCAGCCCAGGTTGGGTGCATGAGACAAGTGCTCGGGCCTGGTGCACTGGGAAGACCCAGAGGGATTGGGTGGAGAGGGAGGTGGGAGGGGGGACCGGGATGGGGAATACATGTAAATCCATGGCTAATTCATTTCAATGTATGACAAAAACCACTGCAATGATGTAAAGTAATTAGCCTCCAACTAATAAAAATAAATGAAAAAAAGAAAAAGAAAAAAAAAATAAAATTGAGACATCAAAGGAATGTGCTTGTGCTTAGTCGCTTGTGCTCAGTCTGACTTCTTTACAACCCCATGGACTGTAGCCCGTCAGGCTCTTCTTCTGTCCATGGGATTTTTCAGGCAAAAATACTGAAGTGTGTTGCCATTTCCTTCTCCAGGGGATCTTCCCCACCCAGGGATCAAACCCATGTCTCTCAAGTCTCCTGCACTGGTGGGCAGATTCTTTACCACTGAGCCACCTGGGAAGCCCATTAAAATAATAACCATGATTTTACACAGCAACAAAGTAATTAATAGAAACAGGCTAAACAGTTTTTTAAAAAACATAGATTGATATTAAGTCTTCAGTAAACTGAAGTTATAAAGATGTCCTGGAATAAATGGTGAATTAATATATTAGTGATGTAACATTAGTTAACATTACTGAGTGTGTTATTAGGTGTCAGGCACTAAGATCTGTACATTAGTATTTATATGTGTGTGTGCTCAGTTGTGTCTAAATCTTTGTGATGCCATGGACTGTAGCCCACCAGGCTCTGCTGTCCATGGGATTTTCCAGGCAAGAATATTCGAGTGGGTTGCCATTTCCTACTCCAGGGGATCATCCTAACTCAGAGGTCCAGCCAGCGTCTCTTGCACTGGCAGGTGGATTCTTTACTACTGTACCACCTGGGGAAACAAGGAGAGATAAGAAGGCCTTCTTAAAGGAACAATGAAAACAAATAAAGGAAAACAATAGAATGGGAAAGACTAGAGATCTCATAAAAAAATTAGAACTATCAAGGGAATATTTCATGCATGGATGAACAAGATAAACGACAGAAATGATAAGAACCTAACAGAAGCAGAGGAGACTAAGAAGTGGCATAATACACAGAACTATACAAAAAAGGTCTTAATTATCTAGATAACCATGATGGTGTGGTCACTCACCTAGAGTTGGACATCCTGGAGTGTGAGGTCAAGTGGGCTTTAGGAAGCATTACTATAAACAAAGCTAGTGGAGGTGATGGAATTCCAGCTGAGCTATTTCAAATCCTAAAAGATGATGCTGTTAAAGTGCTTCACTCAAAGTGCCAGCAAACTTGGAAAACTCAGCAGTGGCCACAGGACTGGAAAAGGTCAGTTTTCATTCCAGTCCCAAAGAAGGGCAATGCCAAAGAATGTTCAAACTACTATACAACTGTGCTCATTTCACATGCTAAAAAGGTTATGCTCAAAATCCTTTAAGCTAGGGTTCAACAGTGCATGAATCAAGAACTTTCAGATGTATAACCTGGGTCTAGAGAAGGCAGAGGAACCAGAGATCAAATTGCCAACATCCATTGGATTATGGAGAAAGCAAAGGAATTTCAGAAAAACATGTACTTCTGCTTCATTGACAACGCTAAAGCCTTTGACTGTGTGGATCACAACAAATTGTGGAAAATTCTTAAAGAGATGGGAGTATTAGATCACCTTATCTGTCTCCTGAGAAACTTGTATGCAGGCCAAGAAGCAACAGTTAGAACCAGACAAAGAACAACTGACTTGTTCAAAATTGGGAAAGGAGTACTACAAGGCTGTATATTGTTACCCTACTTATTTAACTTATATTCAGAACACATTATGTGAAATGCTGGGCTGGATGAATCACAAGCTGGAATTAAGATTGCTGGGAGAAATACCACCAACCTCAGATATGCTAATGATAAAACTCTAATGGCAAGAAAGTGAAGAGGAACTAAAGAGCTTCTTGACGAGGATGAAAGAGGAAAGTGAAAAAGCTGGCTTAAAACTCAACATTCATTTAAATTCTTTCTTTTGTGAAATGTCTATTCATGCTTTGTGTCCATGTTCTAATTAGAGTGTTTATTTACTGTTGAATTTTAAAGTTTTTTTTATATATTGTAGTGAGGGGTCCTTTGTCAGATACGTGGCTTGGAAAACCTTTTTGAACCAGCTAGCAGCGTGTCTTTTAGTACTCTTAACAAGATTGTTGGTAGAACAATTTAAATGAAAAGTAAGCACATGAAAAGACGTTCAGTATCATGAGGCATCAGGGAAATGCAAATTAAAACCAAATATGATATCACTACATATCTCCCAGAATAACTGAAATACCAATAATAATAATAAAATATAATAAAAGCAAAAAAAAAAAAACCCTCAAAATTCAAAAAACTAAGATTGTGCAACTGGTCCCATCACTTCATGGCAAACAGAAGAGGACAAAGTGGAAACAGTGACAGATTTTATTTTCTTGGGTTCCAAAATCACTGCTGACATTGACTGCAGCCATGAAATTAAAAGACACTTTGCTCCTTGGAAGGTAAGTATGACAAACTTTATTTGACAAAGCTTATTAAAAACCAGAGCTATCACTTTGCTGACCAAGGTGTGTATAGTCAATACTATGGTTTTTCTAGTAGTCATGTAGAGATGTGATAGTTGGACCATAAAGAAGGCTGAGTGCCAAAGAATTGATGCTTTGGAATTGTAGTGCTGGAGAAGACTCTTGAGAGGCCCTTGGACTGCAAGGAGATCAAACCAGTCAATCCTAAAGGAAATCAACCTTAATATTCATTGGAAGGACTGATGCTGAAGCTGAAGCTCCAATACTTTGCCTACTTGACGCGAAGAGCTGACTCACTGGAAAAGACCCTGATTCTGGGGGGAGATAGGAAGCAAAAGGAGAAGGAGGTGGCAGAGAATGAGATGGTTAGATAGCATCAACAACTCAATGGATATGAATTTGAGCAAACTCTGGGAGACAGTGAAAGACTGAGGAGGCTGCCATGTTGCAGTCCATGGGGTAGCAAAGAAACAGACACAGCTTAGTGACTAAACAACACCTGGAAAGCCCTAGTATTTATATTATTTAACTAATCACAATTAATCTTTTCACTACCTGTATTATTGTCTTTATTTTACATTAAACTGATAAAGTCTGCTGAGATAATGACTCTTTCCTGATGTTTTTCTCTAGTTCATAAAGACTTTGAGAGTGTAACAAGTAAAGCAATTTCTTACCAGCTGTAAACCTCTTTGTTTTTCGTCCAACCTTTGTTGTGCAATTTTTAGGACATTTTGAGCTTCAGCCACTTGGATTTGCTTAGGGCCCAACATCTTAAACAGAATGTCACAAAATTTAAGTGCTTAAATTCAAGTTCACTGTTAAAAATACCACTTAAGATTAAAAGACACATATGTCAACTCTTAAGCTTTCTTAGAATTAGTGTACAAAGGGAAATAACTAGTTTAATATGGAGAAACATTAAAACAAATAAAACAATAGCATAGTTGTCATAAATTAAAGAACATGACAGGAGAATTTGATGTCTGAGAGTAAACATAATATGGTTGTTAAAGTGTTTTTCATTAAGCATTCTTTCCACAGAAGTTCATTTGAGCATTAAATGCTTTTCTGGAACAATGACGTATCACTTACAAACTGTTATAGGTATTTAGGAGGAAAAAGCATACCTTCTGTGCTTCATGGTAGTTATTCAAAGCTATAACCCACTGGCACATAGAGCAACAAGCAACAGAAACTAGAGCAATCTTGTTTGGGTTGAAATCAGGTAAGACTAAAATCTTCTTCAGTTTTATGAAAGCCTAGAGAGAACACAGTTAATGTATTATATGAGAAATATTGATCTGAAGTTTTCCTCAATCTACACTAGAAAGAAATTTTGTTTCAATAAAAATACTCAACTATTCTTCAAAAGTAGAATGTAAGACATGCCTGGATACAAACTGGCTATAGTATCACTAATTTTTTAAAGAAGAGGGGAAAAGCCTCTACTGTTGCTGTTATTGTTACAGTAGCTATATTATAGTTTTTTTTCTAAGAACTCCATTTTAAAATGAAAATAAAACAAGTTACCTTTCTCTGGTTTTTTGGAATGTGGTGTATAAGTAGGTCTGAAGTCTTCTTCTTGTGTACATTATATGTGGTCACCTGGAAAACCACACTTAATTTCTGTTCCATAAGAAGCATTTGGCAGGGCACAGTCCTATAGAAAGGTCTGTCTGGTCAATGATGGTGGTGTGGCCTGGTGCATGCTGGGGCTCACTGAGGACATTGTTCTATAGCTTAGTTAGACCTGTCACAGGTCTATAGATCCACCTCATCTAAATGGTACAACCTAGTTTAGAGTTAGTGATATAGTATTTCTCCTATACTTTGGGGAGAAATAATCAGAAGGAAATCTTTCTCAGACTGATACTCCTTGTTCCATCCTTTCTAACCAGGCATTTCCTTTCTTGCCTGGAAGGACAGGACCATTTTGCTGAATAATTCAGATGGAATGTGGTCCATTCTCAATGATTACTTGTGTTCTTATTATTATTTAAAATGCTGTTAGGCTTTTAATCATTTCTTTAGATAAGCTATACTTTTTTTTTCTATAGATAAGCTATAAGTATACCTCAAAAGTATAACAGTATACAAGTATCTATTTAAGCATAACCATAGGGAATTGTTTTTGCTAAGAATGCTTCAGAGTGAAGAGTTGTTGCATAAATTCATGAGTGGTATGGGTAGCAACACATATTCTGCTAAAAAAATTCACCTTGTTCAGGTACTACTCTATACTTCCTAATAGCACAGATTATTATTTTAACTAACTAACTAATTGTGTTGTTAGCTATTTAATGTCTGTTTTCCCTGTTACAATGTAAGCTTCATAACATCAATAAGTTGGTCTTATAAACTATTGTAATGTCTCACAATGTCTCTTACATGGAAAATAATCCATAAATATTTATTGAATTAATTAATGAGTATTCACCCCTTCAGCTGTGACGGTGCCATTCATATGTATATAAACCTTTCAGTTTGTCCCTGAACTTAGCTCTCAGCTTGGCTCCTATGTAATGTCCCTGTTCAGATATTACTCCAGCATCTACACATCCAAAGCTACTTCTATAGTTTTAGGTAATATTGTTGCAGCAGCAATCACCAAGTAGTACCAAAATCTGTATTAGTTTCCTGTGGCCATTGTAACAAATTACCACAAACTGGGTGACTTAAAACAACAACAATTTATTCTCTCACAGTTCTGGAGACTGGAAATTTGAAATCAAGGTATAGATGGAGTACTGCTCTGGGTAAGGGCTCTACATGGCCTCCCACTCTACTGGTGCCCTGAATTCCACTGCTTGCTGAAGACTTTGGTCCTTCTCTCATCCTTCTTGCAGTCCTACCTTACTGTAGGACTATATTCTTCAGAATTACATCTGCTCCAGTGAAACCCTTTACTAGGTGTCCAGACTACCTTATTAAAATTTTTCTTCTGTGTTCTAATCTAACCATCATCTTCTCACACATAAATCAATATTTGTAAAGTACTCAGAACAGTGTTTGGTACATGTTGTTATATGAACATTTGTTACATAAATGAAAAAAAATCTCAGAGACCTGGTTCAAGGTAGTGACATAGGAGGATTCTGAACTGCCTCCCTCTCATGGCCACACTGAATCTACAGCTATATATGCATGCATGCTAAGCTACTTCACTCACTTCAGTCGTTTCTGACTTTGGGCGACCCCATGGACAGCAGTCCACCAGGCTCCTCTGTCCACAGGATTCTCTAGGCAAGAATACTGGAGTGGGTTGCTATGCCCTCCTCCAGGAGATCTTCCTGATCTAGGGATGGAACATGTGTCTCTTCTGTCTCCTGCACTGGCACGTGGGTTCTTTACCACTAGTGCCACCTACACGTAGGGAGCAATAATCTCTGGAAGAAAGCCAAAACCGACCCGCGTGACTCCTATACTTGGATGAAAGAGATAAGACCCCACACTGTAACAGGTAGGAGAGGCTGAGACACAACCTCGCCATGGTGTGGGGTCTCACAGTTGGCAGGGAACTCACAACCCTGAGCTTCTCCCTGAGAACTGAAGGGTATGAAACCCACATCCGACAACCCAACTTCAGGACCTGCACCTGAGAAAAAAATTCCACAATACATATAGCTTTAAAAGTCAACAGGGTTGTATCCATGAGACTCAAAAGGTTATAGCAATCTGAGAAATATCCCTTAAAAGGTCCATGGGGACTCACCCATCCCAGGGCCCAACACAGAGGACTGACTGAAAGTGCCAAGGTTTCCTGTGAAAGAGGCTATTTGCTTATGTCAAAACTTCAGTCTGAGGGGTAGGCTTCTAAATTTAACACAGCTCTTGGAATGACAAAAAGAAGAACAAATGAAGCACAAAGTTGATAGAAGGAAGGAAAGATCAGTGCAGAAATAAATGGTTACTAAATAATCAACAGGAAAAAACTCAAAAGGATTAAAATCTGTTGTTTTTTTTAAAGATAAAAAAACTTGAAAAATCTGTAGCTAGACTAAGAAAGAGGAGAAAGAACACTCAAATCAGTAAAATCAGAAATGAAAATTGAGATGTTGCAACTGATATCACAGAAATATAAAAAATCATAACAGAGCACTGTGAAAAATCATATACCAGCAAACTGGACAACCTAAAAGAAATGGATAAATTTCTAGAAATATTCAACCTATCAAGACTGAATCATGAAGAATCAGGAAATCTGAACAGACTGGTTACTAGTAAAAAGATTAAAGAGAAAGTGAAAGTCGCTCAGTCATGTCTGACTTTTTGCGACCCCATGGACTATAGCCTGCCAGGCTCCTCTGTCCATGGAATTCCCCAGAATACTGGAGTAGGTTGCCCTCCTCCAGGGGACCTTCCCAACCCAGACACTGAACCCAGGTCTCCCACATTGCAAGTAAATTCTTTACCATCTGAGCCACGATCAATAAATAAAAACCTCCCAACAAGCAAAAGTCCGGCACCAGTTGGCTTCACTGGTGAATTCTACCAAATATATGTAGAGGAGTTGATACCAATCCTTCTCAAATTCTTCCAAAAGATAGAAGAAGAGGGAACACTTTCAAACTCATTTTTGTTTTTTTATCAGGCTAGCATTACCCTGATAGTAAAACCAGACAGGATACTACAAGAAAAGAAAATTATCTCTGATGAACACAGACACAAAAATCCACAAAATATAAGCAAATTAATTCAACAATATATTAAAAGGATCATAAACCATAATTAAGCGGGGTTTACTCCAGGGATGGATTCAAGGATGGTTCAGCATCCACGAATCAATCAATGTGGTACACCATATTAACAAAATGAAGGGTAAAAATCATATGATCATCTCAATGGATGCAGAAGAAGCATTTGACAAAATTCAATTTTGATTTATGAGAAAGATGCTCAACAAATTGGCTTTAGAAGGAATATAGCTCAACATAATAAAGGTCATATGTGACAAAGCCATAGCTAACATAATACTCAATGAGGAAGAACTGAAATTTGTTTTTATAAGATGAGAAACAAAAAAAAAAATAAGATAAGAAACAAGATAAGGATGCTCACTCTTGCCACTTTTATTCAACACAGTGTTGGAAGTTCTAGCCATAGCAAGTAGGCAAAAAAAAAAAAGGCACCTAAATTGAAAAAGAAGACATAAAACTGTTACTATTTCCAGATGACATAGTATTAAATGTAGAATACCTTAAAGCTTCTACCAAAAAAGTGCTAGAACTAACAAATTCCATAAAGTTGCAGTAGACAAAATTAGTATGTAAAATCAGTTGCATTTCTATACACAAACAATAAACTCTCATAAAGAGAAATTTAGATCTTCTAATGTAGAAAATCCCATTTACAATGGCATCAAAAAGAATAAAATATCTAAAAATATATTTAACTAAAGAAGTGGAATATCTGATACTGAAAATTAAAGACATTGATGAAGGAAATCAAAGCAGATACAATAAATGCAGAGATTGTTTGTGCTTATAGATTGAAAAAATTAACATTGTTAAAATGCTCTTACTACCCAAAGCAAGCTACAGATTCAAAACAATACTTACCAAAATTCCAATGGCATTTTTCACAGAAATAGAATAAACAATCCTAAAATTTGTATGGAACCATAAAAGACCCTGAACAGACAAAGGAACCTTGAGAAAAAACAAAGAGGGAGGCATCTTGATTTCTGTTTTCCACCTATATTACAGAACTGTGGTAAACAAAACAATGTTGTATTGGCATAAAAACAGACACATAGATCAATGGAACAGAATAGAGAGCCCAGAAATGAACACAAGTGTATACGGTCTATTAATTTAAATAAGGGAGCCAAAAATATACATAGGTGAAAGGACAGTCTCTTTAATAAGTGGTGTTGGGAAAACTGAGCAGCTACATGCAAAAGAATGAAACTGAACCACTATCTTACACCATACAGAAATTAACTCAAAATTAATTAAAGACTTGAACATGAGACCCCAAATCATAAAACTCCTGGAAGAAAACACGGGCTGTAAGCTACTTGACATTGATCTTGGTGATGATTTTGGATTTGACACCAAAAGCAAGGCAATAATAGCAAAAATAAGTAAGTGCGATTACCTCAAATTGGAAAGCTGCACAGCGAAAGAAACCATCAGTGAAAAGGGAAAGCAATCTAGAAAATGGGAGAAAACATTTGCAAACCATCTATGTAATAAAAGGTTAACATTCAACTCGGGCCTGGTGCACTGGGAAGACCCAGAGGGATTGGGTGGAGAGGGAGGTGGGAGGGGGGACCGGGATGGGGAATACATGTAAAAAAAAAAAAGATACACTATGGTTGTGATAAAATAAATAAATAAATAAATAAATAAATAAACAAACAAATAAATAAATAAATAAATAAATAAATAAATAAATAAATAAATAAATAAATAAAAAACAAAATAAATGGGGCTTGCCACGTGGTGCAGAGGTAAAGAGTCCGCCTGCCTGGAAGCACCATCTGGAGGCCTGGACGTGAGATGGCAACGCTGCCCTCCGTGAAGGAAGGAGCAGAAGAGGCCTGCTGGCATCGCGTAGGCTGTGGGGCCGTGCTGCCCGCCGCGCCCCCTCCCGCGGGTCGTGTCCTGGGACTCGCCTGAGCCCCGGCCGTGGACCCTGGCGGAGGGGTTAGGAGTGGTGCCTCTCAGCTCTGCACTTCCTAGTTTGGACCACTTCACACCCGAGGCTGCTGTTGCTTTCCAGGCATCTGGCTGGTGCCCCAAGTCCTCCTGTGTAGCCGCAGACCAGGAGCGACGGCCCGAGCTCGACCCAGGGGCGCCGGGCCTCTTCCTTCCTTCACTGCCAGTTCTCACCTCGGCACTCGGGCCGGCCCCTGGCCTCAGCGGGACCTCCCTCTTCCATTCCCCACGAAGCTTCTGGTCTTCCCCGGGACCAGTGTGGGCCGTGATCCACAGAGCTCGCCTGCTGGCCTGGGGGCCAGAGCTTTCCCACTTGGGTGCCAAAGCGGTGGCTCCTTTAACGCCGGCTCTCAGAAGGGCGGGGCTTCCCTGGTGGCTCGGTCCGTCAAGCGCCTGCGTGCAAGCTGGGGATCCAGATTCAGCCCCTGGGCCGGGAAGATCCCCTGGAGAAGGAAACGGCAACCCACTCCAGTACTCTTGCCTGGGAAATTCCATGGTAGGCTCCTACCTACCGCAGTACATGGGGAAGCAAAGAGGCGGACACGACTGAGCGACTTCACTCACTCACTCATTCACGTTCGATCCCTGAGAAAATCCTCTGGAGTAGGAAATGGCAACTTACTCCAGTATTCTTGCCTGGAAAACCCCATGGACAGAGGAGCCTGGTGGGCTCCAGTCCATAGATTCGCAAAGGGTTGGATATGATTGAACGACTAAGTAGGGGCACACACTCACACGTATCCCAAATAAATAATTCATCTAATCCAACAGCAAAAACACCAATCTGGTTAAAAAATGAGCAAAGGATCTGAATAGACTTTTTTCCAAAGAAGACATACAGATAGGTAACAGGTACATGCAAAGGTGTTTAACATCATTAATAATCAGGGAAAAACAAACAACTACAATGAGCTATCACTGTTAAAATGGTTATTATCAAAAGACCACAAATAACGACTGTGGGTGAGAAAGTGGAATACTTGTGCACTGTTAGTAGAAATGTAAATTGGTGAATCACTATAGAAGACAGTATGAGATCTCTTCAACAATTAAAATAGAACTGCCAAAAGATCTAGCAAGTTAACTTCTGGGTATTTATCTGAAGGAAACAAAAACACTAACTCAGAAAGATAAATTCACCCTCAAGTTAACTGCAGCATTATTTACAATAGCCAACACATGGAGGCAGCTGAAGGGTTTATTAATGGATGAATGCATAAAGAAAATGTGAAAAAAAAACACACACAATGGACTATTACTCAGCCATAAAAAAGAAGGAAATTCTTCCATTTTTGATAACTAGAACGGGTCTTGAGAGCACTATGCTGATTGAAATAAGTCAGACAGAGAAAGATAGATATCATATGATCTCATGTATGTATAGAACCTAAAAAAAAGAAAACAAAAACCAAAATGAACTCATAGATACAGAAAGCAGATTGGTGATTACTAGGGGTGGGGAGCTAGGGATGGTGAAAATGAGTGGAGGTGGTCAAAAGGCACAAACTTCTAGTTATAAAATAAATAATTCCTGGGGATATAATGTACAGCATGGTGACTATATTACTAATCCTGTATATCTAAAAGTTTCTAAGAGTGAATCTTGAAAGTTCTCATCACAAGAAAAAATGTTTGTAACTATGCATGGTGATGGATATTAACTAGATTTTCTGTGGTGATTATCTGCAATCTGTGGTGATTATTTTGCAATGTATACAAATGTCAAATCAGTATGCTGTACACCTAAAACTAATATAATGTTGTATGTCAATTATATATAATCTCAGACACCTTTATCCACACCTTGTACTTTCATAGTGTTATACAATCCATCCAGAAAAAAATTTCCCCCACTATTGACCTCTCCTATTCTCATGATATAAAGAGATCCTGAGACACGACATTTTTCTGATTTTGGTGACATACTGCTTTACCTTGTCACTTCCAGAAAACCATTTACGTTTGCATATACAGCTTGCTCTCTGATCTTTTACCCTCACCACTGTCTTCTGATTCTAATGCAAAACTCCAGTGTTACTACTTCCATTTGGCTTGCAGATTATAAGTATGGAATGTATCAATTGTGCATTAATTAGAGATGAACTTTTACCTTCTCAGGTATGTTGTCCTTGTCAATGTTAATCAATTTTTTTAGGAAACCAGTTTCTGAAAGAAGTAACTTTGCTGTAGTCCAGTTAGGTTTCTTTTGCAGAAGAATACAAACTGCATTCATGACAGTCAGTACAAGGTAAGGAGGCCGTGTATATACTCTGTAATAGATGGTTAAAATCTAATCAACTTCATAACTGAAATCAAAGATACCTTATAAACTCTCTCAAAAGATAATACAGACAGATTTTTTTAACAAGTATTTTGGTAAGAAGAACTATTTGCCAATATATAGCTATTTCATTATTGGATATCTTCAAAAATTTGAGTATCTTTAGTATGTGGGTATCTTTGCTTTATAAAGATGAAATGAATAACACTTAGCTATGTAGAGCATACAAGTTAGATGTTAATTATTTTCATTACAAAAGTATTTGCTACAGAGTTCTTTAAAAGAAGGAACTTTCCTCTTTCACCCCAGTATTGGTTTACTGATAGCCACTTGACAGAAACACTATATGTGCATGTGTGTGTGGGGGGTAGTTGAAAGTGAAGTGAACTGATTAAAGAAAGTACTTCTTAACTAATAGTAAAAAAAAAAAAAAAAAGGAAAGTCAACCCTATTCCTGTAATTTGAAGGGTGCTGTAAGGTGCAACTCCCTTTAAATACATCCTCTGATTATTCTTCATCCTGATCTAAAATTCCTACTATAAAGATCACAGATAATATAGAGTTGAGAGAGGGAGGGTAGATAGGAATTTGTCTCCTAAGTTATTAATGATGTAATTATTGGAACATTGGAAGTTGCCTCTTAGCTACGTCCGAATCAGCTGACATGTGTATGTGTGTGTTAAGTCCCTTCAGTTGTGGAAACAGCAGGTGGGAAAGAGAATGACTAAACTGTGTCTCTGCTGCATGTCCTGAAAATAGCAACGAAGATCATATCAGAAGGCATTTCATTTGTCTGGCATTTTGAAGTGAAGTGAAATGTACATTAGCAACATCACAGGGATAATCTTTAAAAAAAAACTAAAAAATAAATAAATAAAACCAAGGCATATGCAAGGAATTCAAGCATTAGGTTAGTTTTCTTTAGCTTTAGTACAAGGGCAGGGGAAAGGGCCTGCTTAAACAGAGGAAACCAGTTAGCATTAATCTTTTTTGAGCACTTGCCTTATGCCGGACTATTCTAAACGTTTCACATGTTTCAACTCATCCAATCCTTTCAATATTTGTTATTACCCTAGTTGCATAGAAGGGAAGTTGAAATACAGAAAAGCTGTATACTAGAAAGCAGCAGTGCCAGAATTCCAACCCAGGAAGCTTGGTACCAGAGCCCATGATAGGTAAAATGGCTTATTCTAAAAATGGGATATAGACTTAACTTTTCCCATGCATTTTTGTTTTATTTTGAGTTCTTGCAACTCAAAAGAGACTTCAGTAACTTACTCACCTTAATTCAGAGACATCAGCTTTATCCAGGGCATTTAGAGCCACAAATGCCTTGTCGAGAGCTGGCAGTACACTTTTTAATTCTTTGTCAGCTTTCTGCAATAAAGTTATAAGCCCCTAAATACATATGAATGAATATAGTTGCATACTTAAAGTTTTTATATTTTTAAGTTGGAAAATGTAATTCGACATTTTTACAATGCCCACGCATACAGAAGTTATGCTTCTGTATGACTTGGGGATGTACACACATGCTTGCACTGTTAGACACCTGTGTTACTGTCCTAAATTAGTATATTTTGCAATCTCTGATGAGAAGTTATCTGTGAGAAGCGAAAACACTGAGTGTTTTCTGCGTTCTGTGTTAGACTTAGTGTAGTTTTAACACTGCCTTTTTGGGAGTGATCCACTTAAAGATGGAATTCTAGGTGGCTCAATGGTAAAAGAATCCATCTGCCAATGCAGGAGACACCAGTTTGATCCTTGAGTCAGGAAGATCCCGTAGAAGAGGAAATGGCAACCCACTCCAGTATTCTTGCCTGGAGAAGTCAAGAAGACAGAAGAACCTGGTGGGCTACAGTCCATGGGTCTCAAAGAGTTGGACACAACTAAGCGACTGAGCATGCCATTTAAAGACAGAATTACTGTAAAGCTGATGAAGCTTAAGACCCTTCAGTTGCACAGATCCCCTTCCAAGGTCCTGGAAGGAATTTTGCCAATATGTGTGCAGGGTCATACTTTTTTGTAAGACATGCAAAAGTAAGACATTCTATTTGCAATCAGATAAGATCAATTTCTCTTTACACTTTTGACTGACTCTTTGTCGGGTATTCTATCAAGAAAGGTGGTGCTGGAATGATTGTGGATATTTTTGGGATTTTCCTAACAAGCTGACTTGGGATTATATTTATGTTGCTTAGAGTCACTTCTCTGTATAATTAAGTTATTACACACTATTACAAACATGAATGACTTCTAGAAGTACTTCTGTTGTCTGCTGTTCCAACTTTCCTGGTGATGTGACACTGAGGTGAAGGGCCAGAGGTCATACTGTAGTATAACTTGTACTTATAGTGCCCAGCTTCAGAATCTTGTCTGTAGAAAATCCTCCCACTTATTAAGATGAGTAAAATTGTAAGTAGGTGGTAGATCCTCATTGACACCTACCCAAAATGGAAGTTCATTCTTTCATGAATATACTTGATAATGCAATGTACACTATTCTAAACCTACTATACACCCCCCCCCCTTCTTTTGATGAGAGTTATTCAACAAGAATTAATCATGGACTTTCAGGTAATAATTACTGTATTTGGAAAGATGTTTTAAAATGTCTCATTGAAAGAAGTGAGAAATTACAGATTCCTTGTACAGATATATGTCAAAGGTGCCTTATTTTATATTTTTAATTCTTATCAGATCATCTTCAGAAAACAAAGCAGCTCTAGGGACTGTTTATTTGGTTTGTGTCATATCTCTCATTGCCTGAATAATTCTGTTTTTTTTAAACAGGCCAATTCCCCTCTGTTCCCTCCGGTCAGAATTCCAGTAGGAACCAGTGTGGTGTAGCAGATGACCAAATGTTCAACCCTGGTCTGATCAATGGCCACCCCAAGTCAGAGAAAGCAGAGAGTGTAGTTTCACATTTTCCATGTGCAAAGGTATTTCATGGAGCAACTCCATCTATTAAAATATATATATATATAATATATATATTATATATATATATTAGCTAAAACCTCAGTTGGGGGAATTATTTATTTATGTGAAATACAAAAGCTACTATCATTAACTAATATCTCAAAGCACAATAAATATTTAGGCAAGGTTTATTATAAACAATAGTGAATGTGAATAGATATTTCTAATAGCCTTTTTGATAATTTCAAAATATTTTGCTTGGCTCCTTGTTAGATCTGATTAGATCATCATTAAAAACATGGCTGAAAAATAAATAGTTCATACCAGAGATATGAGAGGTATCGGCCTGCCTTCTTCTCATTGTTTACTTGTACATCCAGCATTAGCATTATTTTCAATCCAAGGTTTCTCTGAGAAACCTTTTCAAGCTACCTGTCCATATTTTAAGGGCTAATTTACTTCAACTCATAACATAATGAGTAAATCCCTTCACTTGGACACAAATAAACTGCAGGGCTTCCTGTTGAGCATTGAGGAAATGAGGAGGCCACCACAACCAACCCTTCCATCCTTCATATGATCCTCTTGGAGGCCACATGCATTTCTGATATGGGTTGAATGAGTTTTATTCATTGTAACCAGAAGAACCAGACTATCTATTTTCTTAAGGGACCCTTTGTCTTTGCACTTCACTTAATAGTACCTGCATGTAGTAGGTATTAATATAAATATTTTCTGGGAAAAAAATGAAAAACAGGCAAAGTTGGAGCACTTTATACTTAAGAGCAGTTAGCCTGACTTTTAAACTTTTGGGGTAGGAAACAATTTTGCAAATCTCTAAGTGACTTTCATTGATCATATTTTAATTTTACCTGAGCATACTCTTCTACGATTCTTACTTCTTCTGCCATGATTTCTTCATCCTGTTTAACAAGCATTTGAACTTTCTCAACCACTTGGGAATCTTTCTGTAGTTTTTCCATTAGGATTTCTTTCTCCTAATGAACCAAACAACTCTTCTTAAAATAAGTTTTAAGAGATATGATATCTTTTTAAAAAGAGAAATCAAATAGCTTATTTCATTCTTACAGAATTTGTCAAAATCACCTCGAAATATATTTGTTTAATAGACTAATAAAAATGATTGTAACAAATATAATTTCATATAATACATATAAAGACTGATGATGAGTAATGATTTTTAGAATACTTGGCCAACTGCAAGTTACCACAGTGCATTTCAGATGTATTTAACTAATAACTGCAGATTTTTCTATTTCTTTTATAATTAGCTAAATACTTATTGGCTTCCCAGGTGGCTCAGTATTAAAGAATGCACCTGCCAATGCAGGAGACTTGGATTCGATCCCTGGGGAAGGAAGATCCCCTGGAGGAAGAAATGGCAACCCACTCCAGTATTCTTGGCCTGGAAAATTCCATGGACAGAGGAGTCTGGTGTTCTATAGTCCATGGGGTCACAAAGAGACACAGCTGAGTGACTGAGCACATATATCAATGATCACATTTAATTATTAAAATATAATAATGGCTGAGTAATATTCCATTACATATAGGTACCACATCTTTTTTTATCCAGTCATCTGTTGATGGACATCTACGTTGCTTCTGTGGCCTATTGTAAATAGTGTTGCAATGAACATTGGGGTACATGAGTCTCTTTGAGTTACTGTTTTCTCAGGGTATATGTCCAGTAGTGGAATTGCTGGGTCTTGTGGCAGTTCACACAGATGTAGAGAAAGGACTTGTGGACACAGGGCAGGAAGGAGAGGGTGGGACGAACTGGAAGAGTAGCAGTGACACGCATACACTACCATGGCCAAAACAGATAGTGGGAAGCTGCTGCATACACAGGGAGCTCAGCTTGGTGCTCTGTGGTGACCCAGAGGGTTGGAATGGGGGCTGGGCGTGAGGGAGATGCAAGAAGGAGGGCATATATGTTCACATATGGCTGAATCATGTTGTTGTATAGCAGAAACTAATACAATCTTATAAACCAATTATATTCCAATAAAAATAAATTTAAAAATACAGTGATGCTACTACTTTGCTATTGTTGTTGTTACCGCTTCCCTCGTTTTACAGATAAGAAAACTAAGCTAAGAGAGGTTGCACAGCTGCATGGTAGTAAAGCTGAAGTTCTCACCATGTTTGTCAAGTATCAGCTTCTGCTTTCAAACACCATTCCATGTTAAACCATAAAATTTTTAAAAGAGATCCCAAATCAAACACACCTTTGTTTTTTGTTCTATTTGAGGGCCAAGAATCAAGAGCTCCTCCTGCATATCTGTAACTAAAGCAGTTGTTTCCAGGATCTTGGATAGGCCCATATGGAAACGTTCCCTGAAGGGAAAGAAAATATTTAGAAAGTATTTTGTTGTTCAGTTGCTCAGTAATGTCCAACTCTCTGCAACCCCATGGACTGCAGCACACCAGGCTTCTTTGTCCTTCACTATCTCCTAGAATTTGTTCAAATTCGTGTCCATTGAGTCAATGACCCAAACATCTCATCCTGTCATTCCCTTTTCTCTCCTCATGCCCTCAATCTTTCCCAGCATCAGGGTCTTTTCCAATGAGTTGGCTCTTTGCATCAGTTAAGGAAGTATAGATATAACAAAATAATAGCCAAGCAAGATTCACTGTAATCATGGACTGGAAGACCACATAGTAAAGATGCCCATTCTCCACAAAATGATATATAGGTTTAATGCAATTCCTGTCAGAATCTCAGTAAAAAAATTTTTTTTATGTATAGATGTGCTTATTCTAAGATTTATATGGAAAAGCAAATGAACTAAGGTAATTAAAATAATTTTGAAAAAAAAATAAAGTAGGTGGAATTATTCTACCTGATTGTAAAACTGATTACATAGCAACAGTAATCAAGACTATGTGGTATTGATAGAGAGATAGATATGAAGATTGATGGAACAGATAGAGAAGACAAAAGTAAACCCACACAAGTACACCTAACTCAGTTTTGACAAAGGTGCAAAAGCAATAGAGGAAGAAAAGGTTTTTCAACAAATGGTGCTGGGGCATCAGTTACACCAGATGAACTGTAACCTAAACCTTACACCTTATGTTTATGCAAAAATTAACTTGAAATGGACCATAGAATTAAATGCAAAACTATACTACTTTTAGAAGAAAATATAGGAAAAAGTGACCAGGATCTAGGGCTTGGTGAAGAGTTCTTAGACAGGAGAAGCATAATTTATAAAAGAAAAAAATCATAAATTGGACTTCATCTAAAATTAGGACCCTTTTCTCTGTGAAAGGGAGAATGAAAATACAAGCTACCAACTGGAATAGGATATTTGTAATCCACATATTTGACAAAAGACTTATTTTAGAGTATATAAAGAATTCTCAAGCTAACAATAAAAAATTTGAACAATTTAGAAATATGAAAAGATATGAAGAGACATTAAATTGAAAAGGATATATGGATGGCAAATAAGGGCATGAAAAGATATTCAGCATCACTATTAAGGTGTAAATTAAGATCACAATGTCATATAACTACATACTTATTAAAATAGTCAATATAGAAAATAGTGAGAATACCAAATGCTCTCAAGGATGCAGAGAAACTGAATCTCCCATACATAATTTATAAAACTACAAAAAATAGTACAGTCATTTTGAGTAACAATTTGATATTTTCTTCATAGGTCAGATGACCTAACAGTCATACTCTTGCCATTTATCCTAGAGAAATATAAATTTATATCTGCCCAGAAACCTGTACAGAGATATATTCATAATAACTCCAAATTAGAATCAGCCCAAATTCCTTCAATGGTTAGACAAACTGTGGTATACCCATATGGGCTATTACTTTGGCAATAAAAAGGAATAAACTCATGATACATGCAATAGCTTAGATCCCAGAGGCATTATGTTGAGTGAAAGCACTATCACTCTCTGTATGTGAAGAATAAAAATGGAGAAATGCAGGACAGATTAGCAGTTGCAAGGTATTTGGTATAGGAGGAAGAAAAGAGTGGGAGTGACTGTAAAGAGGGTAGCAGTAGCGGAAATCTTTGTGGTAATGAACTAGTCCTATGTCTTGATTGCTGTTGTGGTTATGCAAATCACTACAAATGTTAAAGGTGAATGGCATGGACCTAAACACACACATTGTACCAATGACAGTTTCCTGGTTTTGATGTTGTTCTATAGTTATGTAAAATGTGGGCACTGAGAGAAACTGAGTAAAAGGTACTTTGGACCTCTCGGTAATATTTTTGCAACTTCCCGTGTGTCTAATAATGTCCAAAACAAATTTTCTTTTTAAATAAGAAACAATAAGATAAGTTTGAAAATTTTTCATTTGTCTATTCACTAGAATAAAAAACTGAAAATATACATTTGTATGGAATAAAATAAACTGAAAAATTTAAATAAGAAGACTACAAAGCTATTGGTCAACTAAATTTTAGTTCTAAGACAGGGAATAAGTTCCATAGAGCATTTTCTAAAAATTGAATATATGATTTCTATTTTTGGGGCTTTCATAATCTATGAGAACATCATCACCTATACCCTTTAAATTGTGAATTACACAGATATTTTTGATATTTTATTCTTTTATCTAGCTCTAGGATAGGTCCTCAAAAGTCTCATGTGGATTACCACATTAGCTTTTAAGTCTTCTTTGTTTTTATTTTTTGTCTCTCTCCAATTTATTCTCCATACCAGAGTGATCTTCCTAAGATAAGTCTATTTATACTATTTACTTATTTAAAGAGTTATTATTTGTTGTGTGTTGTGTACATCAGACATCGTGCTTAGCATTTAATTTGTAAACATATGACCCCCTAGAAACAGGTGATATTAAAAATAAAGTGGACTCAAAGGAAAAACTAAAGAAACATAGACACCTGGAACTAAGCTCCCAATGAAGCACACACTTATGACAGGTCATTTGGGCTTTAAAAGTGATTATTTCCCAAAAGGATATCTCCCATTGAAGCAGGATGTTAAATGTTTTGGGGGTGGAGAAGAGGTGTGGACTGGGTGTAAGAGACCCAAAGCATGTAATTATCCCTTCCCTTCCCTTTTTTCTTGTCCCATATTTATCCCTGGGGAATTTCTTAATGGATTTGTAAGAAGTAAAGAAGAGCTATAAAGTTGGGACTTATAACCTGGTGCTTCTTTTTACCACCTAGCTATACTTGATGGATATAAGCACTGATGGATATTCATGATAATGATCATGCACATAAGGTGATAACCTATGGTAATCCTGATTACACATTAGGGGGGTTAGGAGATGTTCTAGGATAGTTCAAGGTACATAAGGAAGAAACTATTGAGCAACTTAGGGATGTACAATGTGGGTAAGACATGGGGAAGACTGGGAAGTAGATAAAGTGATTGTGACAGATACTGGTCATACCAATCATGACTGTGAATGGAGAGTAACACTCCTGGATGATGTGAAGGGGACACCTCAGAAACCTGGAGGTCGGAGGTAGAAGGAAGTTCCATCAATTCCTTATAACTCTTGTCTATAGGGCATCTGGCCAATTTACCCAGCCTGCGGCTATCATACTCATTTTAATCACTAACCAAAAAAAAGGCTTAATCCATGGACTCTCTGAAACATTTTAGGAACTGCTAACCCAGAGGAGTGAACGGCCTTTATGTAAAACAATGGAACAAGATTAACCTTCTGAACTAATAGGACTGTTTTCACAGACTGCAGCAACTGCTGTGCAATTGATGTTGAATGCGCCGAAGTTGTTGACAGAAAATAAAGGAGACTCTGATACCATGTGAATAAAATGCTGCTGCTGAGGTTGCCACTGCTTCTGTAAATGTCAGATGTATACTTGTGTGCCACATACAAACTAGTTTAAACTCTCAAGCATGAGTGGTGGTGAAAATTTTCATTGCCCTGGGCTTCCAGCTGGCCAATAAAGGCAGAGTATGGGCGACTGCCAATTATTGATGCATTTAGATCAGTAACAATTTTAACTGGCTTGGCTCAAGATACGAAACCTGTCTGTGGCCTGTCCTCCAAGTGGCAGTCATCATGGCCATTCTCACCCAATGTTGTCCAAGAATGGATTTGGCCTAAGTCCCTATCAGTGCGCTTAACTGGGGTATCTGATAGAGTGGGCTGTTCTTTTCAGCTGGATAAAGGTTGGAGGATAGAGCTGTAAAGGAATGCCTTCACGTGGTACACCCTGGCAACCTTTCATGCCTTCCATAGGCCACATAGGAGAAGGTTGAACTACAATTGAGATAGGTCTGTGATCCTTCTGGAACATGAGAGCATGCAATGCTAGTCAGTAGATGCTTTAAGACCATTTCCCACTGTCTTTGTCTTCTGGGGGGCTGTCATGAGATTGTTTCTCAATGACTCTAGAGTTCTGATTAGATATGAGACTTTCTACCTCAGGTTTCCTCTCCCACCTTCCCAGGTCCAGCTGAAGGTTCTAAAACTGCTGAGCTGCAGCATGACGTCGACTTCTCAGCAACAGGGCATTCCACTATCAGTGTTGTAGCTGGGAGAAGGAAATAGCAACCCACTCCAGTACTCTTGCCTGGAGAATCCCATGGACAGAGGAACCTGGTGGGCTACAGTCCATGGGGTCCCAAAGAGTTGGACACGACTGAGTGACTTTCACTTTCACTTAATGGGATAATGGACATGGGGAATGGCAATGCTGGTTACTCTTGTTTTCATTGTCCATGTCTGACTTTAACAGTCTGTTGCTTCTTCACTGGCTGAATCTGTCAGCCTTGCCTTTACAGGGACAGCCTGTGAATGACCAAAGGGGAGATAGACACCTACCTCTTTTAAGATCTTCTGTAGCTTTTGCTCTTTTCTCTCCAATGAAAAGGTGGATTTGGGTTCTCTTGCATTTGTATCCCTTTTTACAAATAAGAACACAAATATAGGACACATATATCTGACTTGGTCTCAAAGTCTTACCTCTTCTTTTGCATTTCCTTCTCTCGGGACTTCAAAATGTAGGCAAATGTATCCATGAATCGCAAGTAGTTACTGGGAGTGATATAATAAGGCCTTCTAGTTGTTTGAAAGTATTTTATGTTCAACTCTTTTATGCTTCTGTGGATTTGGACACATGTTGGGGCAAGTTTTTCTTTTAAGCTCTGAAAAATAGTAATTTCTAAGAATTAAGAGAAAGCAGTCTAAATACACACACACACACACACACACACACACACACAAAGAAAGAAAATTGACACTGCAAATACATTTGTTATTTCTGAGATATGGAGATGCAGAAAAAGGGTTTGGATGAATGGGTCTAAAAACACATGAGCTTTAGTGGTTAGGATGACGTTAGGGTGGAAAAGACAAAAAAAAAAAAAAAGGTTAACAATAAGTGACATATCAGCTAGGTTTTTCCCTTATTTCTACCACAGCGCTCCAAGGATTTAGGGTACATTGTCAATGGCCAAGGTTTATAGTGCTTTATCTCTTATCTTCCTTTCTTTAAAGTAGGTTATTGATAGCAAGATACCCAATTTTCTTGAGTAAAATAAAGCTATAAAAATGTAAGGACTTAAAGGATGTCAGCCCTCTGTATCTGTGGGTTCTGCACCCACAGATTCAAACAACCACTGAAAATACTCTTAAATATTCCAGAAAGTTTCCAAAAGCAAAACATGAATTTCTCTTGTGCTGGCAACTATTTACATAGCATTTGCATTGTATTTACAATTATTTACATATACTTACATTGTATTAGGTATTACAAGTAATTCAGAGATGATTTAAAATATATCATAGAATGTGCACATATTATAGGTAAATGCTATACCATTTTATATAAGGGACTTAAGCATCCAGGGCTTCTCTCATAGCTCACTTGGTAAAGAATCTGCCTGCAATGCAGGAGACCCTGCTTCGATTCCCAGGTTGGGAAGATCCTCTGGAGAAGGGATAGGCTACCCAGTCCAGTATTCTTGGGCTCCCCTTGTGGTTCAGCTGGTAAAGAATCCGCCTGCAATACAGGAGATGTGGGTTTGATCCCTGGGTTGGGAAGATCCCTTGGAGAAGGGAAACAATACCAACTCCTGTATTCTGGCCTGGAGAACTCCATGGACTCTATAGTCCATGGGGTCACAAAGAGTCAGGCACCACTGAGTGACTTTCACTTTCACTTGAGCATCCTGATTTTGGTATCTTGCAGGGGGAGGGGAGGGGGCTGGAACCAGTTCCTTACGGAAATCAATGGATCAATCAATGTAGAGATACAGGCGGGCAAAACTAGGGTAGAAAGAGTGTCCTCTTTGCTTACCTTCAGAGAGAATCTGACTTGAACATAATCTAGTCCTGTTTATGCATCTCCAATCCACCCAGCCTAGCTAAACTGGTCATTCTTAACTCAGCTGCAATTTCTTGCTGGTTCCACCCTGAATCTACCCTTTTTTGCCTTTGCTTTCCTTGAACACTTGGACAGGTAAGGTTGTAAGCCCCTTTCTAGGCCCCACAGAGTTTCAGGCCTCTCTAAATTTACAGCTTCTTTTGCCAACATCTCTCGGGATCTTCATTTGAATCACTCTAGGATAGATTCTTACTGACTTGTGGCTCATGAGTTCTGAGGTAAATTTGCGTGTGGCTTTTGCTCTCATTTCTTTGTAGTTGTGTTGCTGTAACCAACCCAGTGAATTTCACAAGAAGTACACAGAAGGTTGCAGTATCCTCACCAGAGCATGCAAAATGGAGGTTGTTTACCTTCATGGAAATCTGCTGTCTACCATGAGGGCAGAACAGTGAAGAGACCCCAGCAGTGAGGAATCTGGGCATCATTGAGACAGGGTGAATTAGGGGGGCAAAAGAGCTGAGAAATTGATAAAGAGTCAAGACAAACACTTGACTTATTTCATAATTTTGCCCAGAACTCCCTCTCTTTGCCCACCTAAGGTTGTCATTCAGAGATGTAGTGTTGTTGGATTCTGATAATAAATTGAAATCTTCACTTGCATTAGATTTCTTTAAAGGGGTTATATTTACCTCTCTGCTCTTGATATCCACTTTTTCTCTTAAGAAAGCGTCAGCTACAATCAGGAGAGCTTCTTCTGGCCACTTCTCATACCAATCAACCGTGCAGGAGCTGATCAGGGAAGGATATAGTCTACAGTTTTGGTGAAAGTTAGGTCTTGTAGGGCTCATGGTCATAAAAATGTGAAGATTTTTATGTATTCTCTGAAAATTAATGACAACATGATTTGTTTAAATGCAATCCACTGCTTTGAAGAAAATATTATATTGAAAATTCCATTTAAAATTTGTTTCAATTTTTTCCTTAATGGGGGGAGTAGAAACCTATCAATAATGTACTGAGTGTCTGTCATAAACCAGAGTCCTTCCAAGGGAAACTACAAGCTTCACAGAGCCCTTCTGAGGAAAGGAGTCAGGTTCTGTTCTAGGGGACCTCACCCTCTTGGCTTCAGCTGGATGGACTGGGTAGGGGAGTCACTGGACTCAGAACATTCCTTGTATAAACCATCCTTTATAAGGGGATCTGGCGCTAGGGCTCTATTCAGTAGGGCAGTTTATATCAGATGGTGATGGGTCTGACTATTTAACTGTTTCCTCTGGAGTGGAGTGCATTTAAGACTCACAGAAACTCAAAGTAAGAAACAGTCAGATGAATTAAAGCTAAAAGAGATGCAGAGAATCAGAACAATGTTATGTACAGAACACCGCAGAGATACTAATAAACTCCCACAGCTGAAGGATTACAGCCAAGCAGTATTAGATTCTATATAACTTTTCAGGTCCAAGGCAAAGTGCTGGCTTCAAAGAAGTTTGCCTGCATCCTTGCCCCACCTAAAACCTGATTGTGTTGTTGCTGTTCTTGGCTTCTTGGAAGGACTGACCACAGGGCACAGATTCCTTCCTCATTTCATACGTCACTTAATGATAAAACCACATTATTGAAAGCAGCTTCAGTGAGTCAATGATCCATTTAACTCAAAGGGTTCGACTTGTACAAAGTGATAACATCTTTGAGTATCAAGCAACCTGTTTTGCCAAGTAAGAGTAGTAAAGCTGAAAGAAGACTAAAGGGTAAGATTTCCCCTCTCCTGCTTGTCTTTACAATTTTTATAAAAGCAAATGCAACTCCTCAATGCAAAATTCACAAAATACAAAAATCTTCAAATTGAAGATGAATTCGCATGTGTGCTTAGTTGTGTCCTACTCTCTGCGACCCCATGGACTGTAGCCCACTAGGCTCTTCCGTCCATGGACATTTTCCAGGCAAGAGTACTGGAGTGGGTTGTCATTTCCCACTCCAGGGGATCTTCCTGACCCAAGGACTGAAATGTGTCTCTTGTGTCTCCTGCACTGGTGGGCGTGTTCTTTACTGAGCCGCATGGGAAAACCCACAAAACGGAATCACCTCTCTCTGCTTTGCCCGTTTGCAAATCCTACTTCAGGATATCCAACAGTTTAAGGTGTGTTTTCACTATTTATTATTACTGTAAAAAACCTCAAATCATTTTTGAAAGTATGGCATATATATAAAATTAAAATTGATTTCTACTTGGGATTCTTATTTTTTATTTCTGGAGGGCACTATTCGTCACACTCTAAATCAGAATTTATTTTCCTTTTCCACTCACAATCTATTGGGTAAACCAATTTTGTAAAGAAATGCTTGAGTGCCACAAGTTTTCAGGATAACTCCGGTCCTTCTTTCTACTGCAGCATTCTAAAATACAACTCAATTCAAACATCCATTTATATTATATTGTTTTCTTACAATTGTGGATTCCATTCCCAGAATTTTTTACATGTTTTTGTAGTGCAAGATCACTAAGTATCTGCTGAGGAAGGGATGGTGGTTCGGTTCAATTTTCAAATGTCTCCATAAAAGATAGAAGCTGACTCGAGAAATATGTTGGCCTGTGGTACTTTACCAGTGAACATTTTGGCTTGGGTACTTATATCTATCTGTTCACTGAGCCACTGGTCAGTCATCATGTCTTAAAGATACAGAATGCTTAGTTAATTTGTCCAGTTTATATCTCTCATCAAGCTGATTCTTTCACAGCAAGCTCACTGCTGAGTTCATTCTGAATATTACCTGCTCTACCTGGATGACCCATAACCTCCTGGACAGTTCTAGGGCTTTTTAAGGGGATGAGCAATTCTTGTTTCTTTCCTTTCCAGGCTTGTTACCAGCATACAACTGAAATAAAAAACCTCATTGGGTAGAAAGGGATCACAGGGTGTGAAGTAATCTTGGGATCTTATTTCTCTTATTGCCTCAGCTATTATTATTTTTTTAAGTTATTGTTAACCAGTCAGTCCCAGATTCTTGCTCATGTTTGTCCTGCCTATGGTGTGTCTATATTTAAGGATGGCAGTCATTTTTTTTTTTTGGCAGTCATTATTATAGCTTTAAAAACTCATGTAAAAAAACCAAAGAAATTATCCAACTTGAAATTTATGTACAGAATTATAAACATAGTCTATTTTTTTATGCAGACCTTTATGTTCATTGCAGGATTATTTTCAACAAATAGTGGACACTGGCATAAATTTTTGTGAAATTTGAACATAGTCTATTTTCAATTTAATATGACAATTTGATAAAGGCAATCCACAAAAATGTACCTTTTGGAATAACGAAAGTAAAATTTGCCTATTATCAACATAACCAGACTCTTCGGCAAGAGATCTAAGCCTGAGGGCAATCGCATCCAGCTCTTCATTTTCAAACAAGTCAGGTATTTTCCCCAGGTTAATAATGCTGTTCAAATCTTCCATAAATAATTCCTTAGGAAAAACATACATTTAATCAGGAATGAGTAAATTGGGCATGTATTCTACTCTGGATAGAGCAAATCAAGAAAGCAATAGTGTTTCAGGAGAACTTAGATCAAAAAAATAACTTCTCTTAATGTGAACCCATCAAAAACATTTTGTTCTGAGCCAAAATAAGCTTCATCTATTCATTCATTTATTCAAACATTGGGGAAACAGATTTGGTACCGACAGTATGCCAAACACTGTGCTGTGCACTGGGGAAGAGGCATGGGAGGAGTGGGTACAATAATTAAGGTGAGCAGGGACTCTGCTTCACACAGTTTATAGTAGTTCTCGGTATGTCTACTTTTGTGTTTGAATACTACACAAACTATTAGAAATCACATGGCCAAAAGCTTATTTTAATTTAACCGAGAACATCTCTATAAAGGGTTCCAAAATGAATGGGAAGGTAACAGAGGAGAAGCAGCAATGAAAGAAATTCTACCAGAGGAGTAATAAAAAAGTATGAGCATTTTGGTCTTTAGAATAAATCCAAGCTTTCTTTTAACAAAAAAGCATTATTAGCATTATCAATGCCTCAAGATACAGTATTCTTTAGTCACTCACAGGGACATGGTATTTCAGCCCAGTTGAGAAAGGGCAGAGAACTGGTGGGCTGTGTCCAATAGAGGCCAACAGAGGTGACATGGGGCTAACTGCTTTCCTGTCTCACCTAAGATGTGATGGAGAACTGCCAAAGATTTATTAAATACTCTGATTATTGCCTACTTGTTGAGAGTCTAGCTAAATTACTCGATAGTATTACTGCCTCAGCATCCATTTTGTTTGGCCAAGTAGTCTGCTGGGGGACTTAAGCTGACATTATACCTCTCAAGGATGTACATGCCTTAGATAGCAACCCACAGAGTTACAAGCAAATGTAAATTCTGGTATTCCCAACAGCCCTGTGTCAATAGTCTTCCCTGTTTCCCAGAGCCTTCCCTTTATGTGCTCCTTAGATAAGACCTCCATGGAACTTACCCTTGTTGGGTTTGAATTGGCCAATCTGGCCCTAGCCTGGGAACTCCAAAAGCACTGCAAAGCACTGCATCCCCAATCAAGGCATGTGCCCGGGTCCTACCCGCCCCCACCCCCCACCCCCCGCCTCTCTCTCTCTCTCTCTCTCTTTCTGCACTTGACTTCCCATGGGTTCCCTCAAGGCATGCTGTGTGCCTCCTGCAGAACCTGAGTAATAAACTTCTCTTTCAGATTCTCTTGTGGTCTTTTGTTAAACTGTAGCTCACCATCTGGTACCCTGCACTTAACAAATGTTAACAAACTTAACAAAGTCATAACACCATTTTTTGGATTCATGTGGAAAGCAATGATGTGGCTAGAAAAAGTCTGGAAAGGAGATGCAATAACCTTAAAGTTCTGCATAAGGTGGAGAGTGAAAGTGAAAGTCACTCTGTTGTGACCGACTCTTTGCAATCCCATGGGCTATACAGTCTATGGAATTTTCCAGGCCAGAATACTGGAGTGGGTAGCCATTCCTTTCTCCAGGGGATCTTCCCAACCTAGGGATCGAACCCAGGTCTCCTGCATTGCAGGTGGATTCTTGACCAGCTGAGCCACCAGGGAAACCCCTGAATAACATGGGAGCCATGTTCAATTCAGCTTTGACAGTGGATTTCTGAAAAACAGTTTCTTAAATTAGAATGATACATTCTTGGCAGGGGAGGAACTACATCTTCTGAAATCTAGAAAGTGTCTGGCAGAAACCTCAACCTGATCAAGGAGCAGGATATTCAAATTTGGGAAGGGGAGAATATATAGTTAAAGCAGAAAAACTGGATATTATGGAGAATAGCAGATATGACATGGCCCTTGGATTTACTTTCAAAATATGACATGAAAAACAAACAGACACATACAACTCTAGGGAGAGAGGCCCAGTATCAGGAGAAAAAACAAAACGGGAGTTTGAAACAACACTAATAACTATACACCTCTGGATCATAGATAATAAACAATATTCCCTTGAAATTTTGCCACAAAGAAGTACATACAATATGAGGTAGTATTCCTAATTATGCTTTGGCTATGGAAGGGTATAACTTATACAAAAGGATAGATTTTTTAAAAGTTGAGTGATTAACATTTTTTGCTTACATATAAGTAAGGCATAAGCTGCAAAGAAAGTTCTCGGCTTTGGTGAAACTTGAGCAGAAGGATAAAAGACAGAAACAGAAGCCTCAAACTGTGAGAGCGCATTGTAGATTATATGATCAGACAGTGGATGCAGATGATAGGGCTATTTTTAAAAGACAGATTATAACACTGGTTTTAATGTAAAATGGATGGCTTTAGTTACACAGATAAATTGCTTTCAATTAGTCAATTAAAATTATAGAGACAGAAAATTCTTTTATTGTGGTACTTATGTAAAACTTACCTACAGAATGATTCCAAACATACAAACTCTATAGGCTATGATTGGATAAGCATGGAAAATAATGAAAAGAATTGATATGGCAGGTTAATAGGACCATAGATAAATATTTTCTTTTCAAATATTAAATTTGGAGTGCTCCACTGTGCCACCTGGGAATACCCCACATAAATATTAAACTTTAGCAAATAATAAAAACAAAAAGTACTTACTTGATCTAGGTTCAAATTACTAACTATCAAAGCAGAAGGGTTGCCTTCTAATCCTGCTTGCATGAACACTTTTTTGAAATCTTCTTTGAATTCTAAGTAGGCATAATTGTGAGATAAAGGTACCCGGTATATTTTGTGTTCTGCCAAATAACAGGCCAGAGTTGCACAAGTTTCTTTTCCACATCCATCTATTCCAATCTTGGGAAGAAAAAAAATCCAACATGTGATTCTTATATATATTCTGGAAATCTTTTAAAATCTTTCAGAAATAGAAATCATTTATTTTTATTTCTAAATAGAAATTAAAAGTTTTCTACTTAGATGTGCTAGAAAGTTAGTAAAACTACCTAAGACTATTTTTAAATGCTTTGATAAACACATGAAACAAAGTATTTTATCAAAATCTTATAAGGTACTCAAACACTTTCAATATTTTAATCTTTTCTCTTCACAGCCTCTTGAACTACATGAAATAACTGTGCTGAAAAGATTATCTGGAAAAATAGCAGAGATAGGCTTACAAATCATTGCAATGTGACTATCAACATTTGAGTCTTCATTTGTAAGGATTCAGATAAGTCTTTTTCCATTTACTGTGGGCAATAACACTCAAGAAGTGCTCTTTGGGAATGATGATAAAGTTTTACCCTTTTAAAACAGTTTATTTAGGTGCAAACTATAGACTATACCCGTTTTAAGTGCACAATTAAATGATTTTTAGTAAATTTACAGAGTTATGAAACCATCACCACAATCCATTTTTAGAGTACTTCTATCATCCCCCAAATATCTCTCAAGCCTATTTGCAGTCAATCCTCTTTCTAATCTCCAGTCCCAGGCAACAATTAATAGGCTTTTTGTCTCTATAGATTTGCCTTTGTTAGACATTTCCTATAAATGGGATCATACAGTAAAAAGTCTTTTGCATCTGACTTCTCAGTTAGCATGTTGGTTTTGAGGTTCTCCATGTTGTAGTGTGCATCAACAGTTCATTCCTTTTCCATTAATGGATTTGGGGATGTTAAACCAAACACACATTCCCAGAATAAAACTCACTTGGCCATGATACATAATATACATTCAGTTTGCTGATATTTCATTCAAAAAATTAATAACTATATTCACAGGGGTATTGGTATGTAGTTCTCTTTTTTCATGATGTCTATATAGTTTTGGTATCAGGGTGATACTGTTCTCATAGATTAGCTGGGAAGTATTCCTTCTATTTTCTGGAAGAGTTATAAAGGACTGATTTAATTTTTCCTTAAATGTTAGAATTCTCTAGTGAAGCCATTTGGCCCTAGGCTTTTCTTTGTGGGAAGTTTTAAAATTCCTAATTCAATCTTTTTATTAGTTACATAAGTACAGATTTTATATTTCTTCAGTTCAGTAATTTATGTCTTTCGAGGAAAGTGTACATTTCATCAAGGTGTATTAAATACTTGATTTTAATAGTTGGAGTGTTCTTGCCTTTTTTCTCTTGATTATCCTCTCTAAAGATTTGCCAGTTTTGTTGATCTTTTCAAAGAATCATTTTTTTTTGTTTATTTTCATTGATATTCTCGTATTGTTTTTCTATTCTTTACTATCTTCTCTCACCTTTTCTTTCATATAACTTCCTCTTTGGACTTAGTTTTCTTTTCTTTTGTAGTTTTCTAAGGTGGAAACTTAGCTTATTTACTTGAGATTTGTATACACTACCATATGTAAAATGGATAACCAATAAGGACCTACTATATAGCACAGGGAACTCTACTCAATCTTATGTGGCAGCCTGGATGGGAGGGGAGTCTGGGGGAGAATGGACATATATATGTGAAAGGCTGGGTCCCTTTGCTATCCACTTGAAACTATCTCAACATTGTTGATCAGCTATCAGTTCAGTTCAGTTCAGTCGCTCAGTTGTGTCTGATTCTTTGCGACCCCGTGATCGCAGCACGCCAGGCCATCACCAACTCCCGGAGTCCATTCAAACCCATGTCCATCGAGTCGGTGATGCCATCCAACCATCTCATCCTCTGTTGTCTCCTTCTCCTCCTGCCCTCAATCTTTCCCAGCATCAGGGTCTTTTCAAATGAGCCAGCTCTTCGCATCAGGTGGCCAAAGTATTGGAGTTTCAGCTTCAGTATCAGACCTTCCAGTGAGCATCCAGGACTGATCTCCTCTAGGATGGACCGGTTGGATCTCCTTGCAGTCCAAGGGACTCTCAGGAGCCTTCTCCAACATCACAGTTTAAAAGCATCAATTTTTCGGTGCTCAGCTTTCTTCACAGTCCAACGCTCACATCCATACATGACCACTGGAAAAACCATGGCCTTGACTAGCTGGACCTTTGTTGGCAAAGTAATGTCTCTGCTTTTTAATATGCTGTCTAGGTTGGTCATAACTTTCCTTCCAAGGAGTAAGTGTCTTTTTTTTTTTTTTTCTATTTATTTTTATTAGTTGGAGGCTAATTACTTTACATCATTGCAGTGGTTTTTGTCATACATTGAAATGAATTAGCCATGGATTTACACGTATTCCCCATCCTGGTCCCCCCTCCCACTTTCCTCTCCACCCGATCCCTCTGGGTCTTCCCAGTGCTGCAATCATCATCTGCAGTGATTTTGCAGCCCCCTAAAATTAAGTCTGACACTATTTCCACTGTTTCCCCATCTATTTCCCATGAAGTGATGGGACCAGATGCCATGATCTTAGTTTTCTGAATGTTGAGCTTCAAGCCAACTTTTTCACTCTCCTCTTTCACTTTCATCAAGAGGCTTTTTAGTTCCTCTTCACTTTCTGCCATAAGGGTGGTGTCATCTGCATCAGCTATACTCTAATATAAAATAAAATTTTAAAATAAAATAAAATATAGGCATTTGAGGCAGTAAATTTCCCTGAAAGCACTGCTTTAGGTAGGTCATGTTGTTTTTTTGTTTGTTTGTTTTTTGTTTCGGTATGTTGTGCTTTTGTTTTCATTCGCCTCAAAGCATTTTCTAATTTCTCTTGTGATTTCTTCTTTTACCCACTGGTTATTTAGGAATGTATTACAAAGGTTCTGCATATTTGTGAATACTCCAAATTTCTTCCTGTCATTGATTCCGGTAGTAATTCTTTTGTGATCTGAGTACATAATTTGAATGACTAACTTAAACAAATAGTCATAAGAATGTGACGTATCATTGGTTGAATACGTTGGATTTTATTTAGCCTTCTGAAAGCTTTTCTCTACTTAAGGTATTGGCGGAATTTCCAAGAACTTGACTCTCATTTGCCTTCATAAGCAGTAAAGTTTTGTGCAACGACTCATTTTTCTAAGTTTATATTCAAGAAATTTTATTATTTTTGAAGTCAAGATTCACCTGCACAGGCACTGTATTAATACTGCAGACATGCTGGAGATGGCGCTAGACCCGTCACTGTTTTTACACATTAAATGCCATCGAGAAACAAATAGCTGGCGAACTTTTATGCACTTTTGAGTGGACAAGGATCTTGACATATGAGTCAACGAATATGAGCTTTCATAAACAGAAAGTGTGCAAAAATTAAATTTCTGTAAGCAGAATAGATTTTTTTTATATTCTACTATTTTACCATTTACTGCTTTTATCACTACTGCTTTTTTAAACTTTTAATTTTATATTAGAGTATAGCCAGAGTAGATTTTTATTGAATTTCCTTAATTTTTCTTTTGTATGCTAAAAAAAAATTTTTGAAAAATTTAAATTCTTACCAGTAACATATGACTTCCTGATTGTCGAAGGATCCTTGTAGCTCTTGCAATGTGTTCTATGGCTTCCTTGAAAAATACCAAGGAATGAGAAATCTACCAGGGGAAACGAAAAAAGAAAGTGATTATAGGCATAGAAAAATTAAGTGTTCCTTGTGGTTTTACATACAAGATATAGAAATGAGAATGACTAATCTGGTAATCCAATAATTTAGACCCAATAAACTAGTTTACATTTATGGAAAATAAGTGTGCACAGTGAGAACTGTCCTTTTGCCAATATTCTGATGAGCAAGATTGGAAGGCCGGCCTAGGCTTGAGGGAAGAGGATGAAGGGGAGAGCAGCAATATCAAGGCTGATTTTTTATTTCTGTCTTGGGGTAGAACAAGCCTCAGGGAATCGGTGTATGGTATCTGATTTTGTTGGTGTCTATGTTCCAAATCACCTTTGCTCATAACTACAGTGGGAATGTAGTTTCCTATTGGACTTCCCTGGTGGCTCAGATGATAAAGAATCCGCCTGCAATGCGGGAGACCTGGATTGGATCCCTGGGTTGGGAAGATCCCGTGGAGGAGGACATGGCAACCCACTCCAGTATTCTTGCCTGGAGAATCCCTATGGATAGAGGAGCCTGGAGGGCTACAGCCCATGGGGTCGCAAAGAGTCGGACACGACTGAGTGACTAAGCACAGCGCAATGGGAAAGATTGTGAATTAGTCCCAGCTATATTGCTCCTACTTGTTGCCACACCCTCTCTTGCATTTAATTCCCTTAACTTTAATAATTCAACATTTTACCGCCTCAGTTGTGCACCTTGTATTTAAATGAGGCAAAATAAGATGAACAATATAAACCTACACTTCTACTGGTCTGCACTAAAATTTGAGGGTACAGTTTTTGATCTCTCTTGCTCTTATACATACACATACATCTCAAAAATATTTGATTTTACATACACATATACATATGTGTAGTGTTAGTCACTCAGTCGTGTCTGACTTTTTGCAATCCCATGGACTGTAGCCCACCAGGCTCCTCTGTCTATGGGGATTCTCCAGGCAAGAATACTGGAGTGAATTGCCATTTCCTTCTCCAGGGGATCTTCCCAACTCATGGAATGAACCTGAGTCTTCTGCATTGGCAGGCGGATTCTTTACTGATTGAGCTACCAGGCTGTGCATATATAACTATATATCTGAAAATAGTATTCCTTAGATTTTTGTATAGTATGTGTCTCTACCTCCAAAGACGCTGAATTCAACTTCATTTGGAATTCAGTAAGAACTTCGGCAAGTTTATTATAGTCATTGGTATACTGATAGGTCTTCTTTCTATGAGATTTGTTTACATCCAAGAAATCCACAAATATAATTGGGTCATTCATCAGTTTTTCTTTGGTCCATTGGATCTATTGTAAGGTGATTGAATATAAATTGTTAATAGCATAATTTTACTTATTATCAAAACTGAAACAATATACTTGTATCAGAGAAGTTCTTAGCACAGTAGGTCTAGGTCTTGGGGGTTCTTAACCTTTTTTTGTGCCATGGACCCCCTTCTGACAGTGAAACCTGTGGACTCCTCATAAGAATAACATTTTAAACAAACATAGTAAAATGCAAGGGTTGCAAAGGAAACCAAATACACTGAAATACAGTTTTTTTTTAAGAACTCTTTGAGAATCTACAGTCTCTAGGTTAACGACTGCTGCTGTGGGAATAACATGTTGATACCACGAGGTCTCACCAACAATCTGAAAAAGAGAATCTTTCCTTAATCAATTGTTAATCACCACCATAGATTTGCAAACTTCCATATTTGCTTTCTTGGTTCATTTGACAAACCCTTGCCTGTCTTTCAGACCAAGTTCATGGGCTAACCCCTTCTTTGAAGTCTGACCATTTCCCTCTTCCTAAAACTGGGTAGATTAATATTATTCTTTCTTCTTTTGTCCTACTATGGTGGTGTGTGGATGGGCCTGTTACAGTACTTACAGAAATGTATCGCACCTGTTAGGTTGTAAGGTGCTTGGAGGCAGGGCTTACATTAGTTCTATGGAGGTTTTAGAACTTACCTCAGTTGATGTCTGTCCCTGGAAATTCTTAATAGGCTCTCAGAAGGTGTTTGTTTAAGCAAAAGGCTAAAGGAAGGTCGAGGGACAATATGATATGATGGTTAAGAGAATATCTGAAGTCAGATAGCCAGGACTCCACCACTTAACTAACTATGCAACCTTGGGCAAATTCTTAATCTCATTTTGCCTCAGTTTCTTCATTTGTAGGATGAGGATTATAACAGGACTTAAATCACAGAGATGTTATCAAGATTTAATTGAGTAATGATGGGTAAAGCTTTTAAAACAGTGCCTGGCACATTGTAAGAGTTAACCGTTATTAGAGCTATCACATTTTATTATTTAAAAAGTCAACCAAACAACCGACTAAATGGCATTGTATAAATGCAAATTCTTATGGGAATAATTTACATCCTTAAGTTTTTAAAGTAGATTTGGGTAATAGTTCTTTAATTTGGGAGTACTGTAGCTGTTCTTGCTGTCTGTGGGACTAACTCCTACTAGGGAAAGACCTGTCTCCCCTAAGTATTTGCTTACTCATTTTCTACTACCTCTACACCTATTCTTTGGTCTAGCAAAGTCTTAAAACTAAATTGCAGTTGGAATGTATAAGGCAAGAATTTAGGATCTTCTCCATGGACAGAAATAAGCTCTCTTTAGATGGTTATTTTAGTAAAGTCTCTGCATCCCTTCATTCATTCCTGTATCTATTCATTCATCCCAGATGTATTTGTCAAGTACCAGCTAGGAGTAAGGGAGGATGTTAAACTCTGGAGATTTAGGTGGGGATAAAAATCAATGATTTTGTTCATGGAACTCATCAGTTAGAGAAAGGGAAAGGCAATTACATTCTAATTAGTTCTACGGATAGAAAACCCCATAGTCCTATGACAATGCAAAGACATTTAACCTGGAAAGAATGTGATTTAGGCTAGAGAAGACCACCAGAAGAGGAAGCATGAGCTGAATCTTGATGGATGATCAGAAGTGAGCCAAGGGAAGGGACCTATATGAATAAAGGAAGAGACAACAGAGACCACCATTCTGCACTGGCCAAAGTATGAGGTGAGGGGCTCAAATTTCTGACATGGATGGAGGCTTGACTGATAATATCAGTACTGAGGTAGGAAACACCAGGGTGGGGCAGCAGGGTAGTACGCAGAATGCAGTGAAGGAAGACTGGAAATGGTTTTGCAGGTGGTTTTTCATGTTGAGAATGAAGTACCCAGAGTAATATGAGACAGATTTAGAAGTCAAGCCAAGGTCTAACTCTAGCATTCAGGCTCTTTCTGCCAAACCACAAGCCTGTCTTTGAACAGTAGATATAAGATCTGGTCATTTTTAATACAATGATAGCTTACATTTACTGAGCACTTATCATGTGTCAGAAACCGTTGTAAACACTTTACACAAGTTAGTGCCATTACTTCTCACCACAGTCCTATGAAGTAGGTACAATTGCTACCTTTTCATTAGAGATGAGGAAACCTAGACACAGAAGGGTCACTTGCTAAAGGTTTCATAGCTCATAAATGGAAGGGCTGGGCTTTGAACTTGGGCAGAGCCTGTGTTTGTAACCCTTGTATTCAACTGCTTCTCAGGTTGTTAGGGAACGAAAGTGAGCAAAGAAAGGACTGGAGATTCTACTGCCTGTGTGAAGGAAAGTAGGAGTAAGATGAGTGTGAAGCATCACCAAAGAGTAGCCCCAAAGAGGGACAAGAAGAAGAACTGCACACTGGTAGAGCCCTGAGAAAGTCTGGGTAAGTAGATGGAGCTGTTGGTGGACGTGGAGATAGCTACTTTGTGAAAAGATTGTTTTACCAGATGTTTAAAAAATTGGAGGGCAGAAGTGTTATGGATTAACATGAATGATGATACCAAGAAGGGTCTAGGCTGAGGAGCAGAAAACTTGGATTAAAGAAAAGTAATGATGAGTGTCTAGAAAAAAAAATTTTTTTTAAAAATGGTAGTGCTAAGAAGTTTTATTTCCTCATTTTTTGTTATTACTTTATATTTATTATCTATTTTTCATAATTTACATGCAATAGAAGGCACAGGTCTTAAATACCCAGTGTAATAAACTTGGAGAAAAAATTTTTTTAAAAGATTTCTGAATTTGTGATTTATCTAAAAAATATATAAGGGGACTTCCTTGGTGGTCCAGTGATTAAGACTCCATGCTGGCAATCTAGGGGGTGCAGGTTAAATCTCTGGTTGGGGAACTAAAATCCTACATGCCACATAGCATGGCCAAAAGATAAAAGGAAAAAAATATATGTGTATGCAAGTGTAAGTATACATCATCCTTGGAAAGGAATTGAGAGGAGTTAGCAGAGAGGTAGCATAATGGAGTTGAGTTCACCACTTCATTTAGTTACAACTGTTAGTGAATCAGTTACTGAAGCACTTTCCTTTGTGACCTGGACTAGAGAAGCACGCACAAACTAAAATTCAAAGGGCTGGAGAGGGATGAGGGGTTAAAGTGTTCATGTCTTCCTTTCCTGGAGGAAAATGAGCAATTTCAAGGCTCTTAACAGGCCAAATACATTAGTAAAGGCATCAAGACCTTATCATTTCAATTGTTCCAAATCTGTAATTATTTAGACATTTGCAAGTAAAAAATGAAATTGTTAAAGTTTTTAGTTAACATCATAGAAATGTCTGATGATGTTTATAAAACAGCATTTTTGCTCAAGACACCACTCGCAAAAATTTTTTAAATAATTTTACCTGAAAATAATTCTCGACTTCTTTCGAAAGAATCTGATAGAAAAGCACCTGTTCAGCTTGTTCAAGTAAGCGATCCTGAAACACTCGGGTGGCTTCATGAACAAAGAACAGAGCAGCCATCTCTTTGGAGTTAACAACAAACTTGTCAGCTTGCAGCAGACCTAGAAGAAGCTATTAGGGATTTAAAAACAACAATTAAAAAACCATTATCAGGTAGATTGCAAAGTAAAGCCTCATTGTTTTTTTTTGCAGGTTTATGTTTCCATAAAAATAGAGCCATAATCCCAGGCAAGGATTGTCAGTTCCTACAAGTGATAACCTGAACTTCTGATGAGATAGATGGACAAGTTATAAATCAGAGAAAACTTGTATAGTGTCACCCTTATAAGGAGAGGGCTCAAAAACTCCTCACAGGATTGCTGGAGATAAGTGATGCTTCTTAATGTTCTAAGATTGTAATCTGGGTTAAAAAATTTATAACCCATTTCAAATACATGTACTATTTTGGGCTAAAGTCCCATAGCAAGGAGATAAAAAGCAAACCAAAAGAAGATTTTTTTTTTTAACATTTTAATCCAGAAAATTGACTAAATCAGCACCGTTGGCAACATTCTCTGGTGTAAAAGCAAGGCTTGTGAAAATTCAGCATGTTTATGAAATGCATGCATGTTTTCATTTGTCTGAGAGCTGCAATAAACTCTCAGAAATAAAGCAAAACCAAAATGCATGTTATAGCCTCGTCACTTCTTTCCCTGATGAGAATCTTACCCAGTACATCCCCTCATGGGGACAGACCCCTCCCTCATATTCTTGGCTTTAGTTCCTCTTTGAAGTACCTAGATGCACAATTCTTGAATTTTTATACAGATGCTAAAACCCCCACCAAACTGAATAATTTCCTACTGATGACCAGGAGAACATAGGCCCCAGACCTATTGGAACCTAAGGATTGATAATGCTCACCCCTGTGACCTGGCCTGGTTACCTCACCATCAAACAATTAGAGCATTGTGCACGAGCTGATCATGGACCCTGTTACTCCCTCCCTCACTTGGTCCTTAAAAGTCCTTGGCTGAAACCCTCTGGGGAGTTGGAGCTGCTTGAGCACTAGTTGTCTCAGATTCCTTTTATGGTGACTTATAACAAACACTGAACTTTCATTCACCACAACCTGGTGTCAGTAGATTGGCTTTACTTTTTAACAGTCTTAGAGGTTTCATCATTGAATTCTCTGCATGGAATCACTTTAATGATGCTTTTTAACTGGCTTATACAATAAGCGGCTAACAGCAAAACTAATCAACTTGAATTGCTCTGTTTTTCCCCTTCTAACAATTAAGTGTTGACAGTATCAGTGAGTAGGGAAATGGAGAGAAAGTCAGTTCAGTAAAATTGCATTTTCTCAAGTTGAATTTTAAACTTAAGTTAGAGAATGAAATTTTAAAACAAACCTTAAATATATCTCGAAGATTAAACATGTAGTGACATTTCATTGGAGTTGGTAACATAGTCTGACATACTTGATAGTATACAGCTAGAGAGCAAGATATTATTTGATCCTTAGTTTTCTGAACTTCTGGTATGAAATTATTGATAGAGAAATACATTCCCAAATGAACCTTTAAAGAGAAATTTTATAATTTAGTTTGCCAAAACTTTTAAGAACAGACTATTTTTAGTTAATCCCTACTAGAAAGGAGATGTATATGCTACAATGGAAGATGAATTTTGTTTAAAATGTTAGTAATCAGAATTCATTTTAAATAGATGCCAGACTAGTACAAAGACATTCTGGATGTTGAGAACTGAGGAAAATTTCAATTGGTCCTAGTTTGGTGAAAGATTTAGAGGCCTGTGTTATCTGTTCTCTGGGGACAACTGATGCTCCACCTGTGTGTATAATACCAGTATACTGAAAATTCTTTCATATCCTTATTGCCCAGGAAATGTTACTAGAAGAAATATAAAGTGATAGAACTATTATCTCAGTTAAGATTGGTAGATGTATATATTCTATACCAGGTTTTTTGAAGTGTAGATTATTGATCACCTGTAGAATTACTAAGTACTTTTTGGAAAATACATTTTAAAAAATGATTTTTAAATTTTATGTTATAAAAAAGAAAAAGACATAATTAGATTAAAGAATTTAGTAAACTTGCATATGATATATTTTTCTAATCAAACTAGGTTTCAAATTGAGGCATTTTTCTAATAAGATGTTTCAGAATTTCTTCTCTCAATTTTTTATTCTATAAGGAAATAAAAAAACCCAAATACTAGCAAAAATCCAAGTGTACTTCTTGGCAGTGCAGATTGCTGAGCTCCATCTCAGATATATTGGATTAGAATCTCTGAGAAAAAAGACTTGGAATTTGCTTTAAACATTCATTAAACATGCCCCACCTGTGTTTCTTATGCACAATAACTTACATTTTTGATATTTAGAGACAAATTATAATAGTAAGCCAGAAAATACAGAGGGAAAAAAATCCATCCCCTTAAGAGAATTTTCTCTTAATATTAGTGGTTTTAATTTCTCATATTTTCCCTTATACTATAGAATTAAATTTGTTTTTTACTAGAAAATAAATTAGATGTATTACCTGGAAAATAGTTTTTATGGCAGTTTGTGGGAGATGAGGCAATACCAGAATGGAAAAATGTTTGAGCAGACGTGGGCTAATATACCTCCTACTAACTGGAAAAACACAAGCTGCAACTAGAGAGACATCTTGGATATTCTGTGGGAAGAGTAAAAAGGAAGAGTAACTGAATGTATCTATAGAAAGCGAAACATATATACCTATTTCCCAGCTCCAAAAGGACAAAAGCTTTTTAATGTTTAGGCACCTTGGGGGCTCTGAGGAGCTCTGGTTCTTTATGTCTCAGTGCAGAAAGAATTTAACAAGAGGCAAAGTGATAGATAAGAGTGATCTATTAGAATAGGATGCTTGTGAGGTTAATAAGCTGGTGGGCAGGAGGATGCCTCACCCAGAACTTAGTAGGCTATAGTTTTACAATCAAGGGAAAAGTGGGGAGTGGGAAAAGACCACATTCTTCCTCATTCTTGAGTAGATGTCAAGCTACCATCATCAGTTCCTCCTCCACATCAGGTCTGGGAGTTTTCTTGCCCCTACGTGGTAAAAATGGGACTGTCATTGCACTATTCAAATCAGCAGAAAGGTGGTCTATGCTAAAAATGGTAAATCATATGAGGTTTTGGCATAATGTCACCTTGTCTTTAACTATTAATCACCTTACCTTATCACTTTACTCTGTCCTTATCAATGACAGTATTAGTCTGTCTTCTTAGAAGTTGTTGCTGTTGTTCAGTTAAGTGGTGTCTGACGCTCTAAAACCACATAGACTGCAGCATACCAGGCTTTCCTGTCTTTCACTATATCCCGGAGTTTGCTAAACTCATGTCCATTGAGTCGATGATGCCATCCAACCATCTCACACTCTGTCGTCCCTTTCTCCTATTGCCCTCAATGTTTCCCAGCATCAAGGTGTTTCCCAATGAGATGGCTCTTCATATCAGGTGGCCAAAGTATTGGAGCTTTAGCAACAGTCCTACCAATGAATATTCAGGACCGATTTCCTTTAGGATTGACTGGTTTGATCTCCTTGCTGTCCAAGGGACTCTCAAGAGTATTCTCCAACACCACAATTCGAAAGCGTCAGTTCTTTGGAGCTCAGCCTTCTTTATAGCCCAACTCTCACATACATACATGACTACTGGAAAAACTATAGCCTTGACTATACAAACTTTTGTCAGCAAAGTGATGTCTCTGCTTTTGAATATGCTGTCTAGGTTGGTCACAGATTTTCTTCCAAGGAGCAAGTGCCTTTTAATTTCATGGCTTCAGTCAACATCTGCAGTGATTTTGGAGTCCAAGAAAGTAAAATCTGTCACTGTTTCCACTTTTTCCCAATCTCTGCCATCAAGTAATGGGGCCAGCTGCCATGATCTTACTTTTTTGAATGTGGAATTTTAAGCCAGATTTTTCACTCTCTTCTTTCACCATCATCAAGAGGCTCTTCAGTGCCTCTTCACTTTCTGCCATTAGAGTCATATCATCTGCATATCTGAGGTTGTTCATATTCCTCCAGGCAATCTTGATTCCAGCTTGTGAAACTGTAATGCCAGAGTACAGCCCAGCATTTTGCATGATGTACTCTGCATATAAGAAGTAACCCAGACTAAATATAATTCCAAGACATGTTATTTCTAGGAGGCCTTCTAAATGTCATCTGGAAATAGCCTATTTTTTCCCGCTTAAAAACCAGTCATTAGAAAATAAAGAATATGTTACTGAGGCTAGTGAAAAGGATTCTGGTAATAAGTGAGAAATGAGGAGAAAAGCCTGGTGAATGTGTCTGTAGAGAAGATAGGATTAGCTGGGTGAGAAGAAGTTTGACTTCTTACATAGTATTTTGACATATTACAACATGGCATTGTAAAGCTGGAATCATAACGAAATAATATAGTTTATGCATGGTGGGGCATTTTCAGTTTTTTTTTTTTTTTTCCCTGCATATGTTCATGCCCAAGGCCTTAGAAATACCATTAAGAGACTGCCTCAATATTTTCATGTCACTTCAAGAAAATTCTTTAGGTTGTGCATTTCACACCCATTTCTTGCCTTCTTTTTATCCCAGTCTCCTGGATTCTTCCTGGGGGGCTGCATCTCCATTCTCTCTGCCTTGGGTTGATGGTTGATTTAGACAGTTTGAATGGTATCTGAGTTGATGTCACTCACCAGCAAGTGTATGTCAGCCAGGATCCTAGGCCCAAATTTATCTGAGACATGAAACAACCATTTAATTTTACAGATGAGGAAACAAGGCCCAGGAAGTTGAAATGATAAAGTCAGTTCTAGAAACCAGGGTTTCCAGCGAAGGAACAAATAAGGAGAAAAGTTCATTTACTTTTTAAAACATTAAACCCTTCTGATTGAGTTCAATGAACCAAAGATAATTACATAAAAATATCTGTTTGGAATTTTTTTGACCTTGTAAGTAAGGTCTGAAAATCCTTTATGTTCTTGAAAATAAAGACGTGGAATAGTCTTACACAGAGATTAAGAATGTATTTCTTAAGCCACATTTTCACTAGCTTTTCTCATATGCAATAGTTGCTGAGGCACTGAAAAATTTGAATAACTATTAATGTGTTTAACAATAGTGAGCATTTTTTTGACTCAGAAACCAAACCTATAGGACACACTTGCAATTTTTATTAAGATTCAATCCTACTAAAAGTAGAATTTCTATGAACCCATAGACTTGTGCTGAATTGCAAGATGTAATTACAACTGTTAAATTAAGATCTCGACTTTATGTCCATCTGACCTGATTTTCTAAATATCTTGCTAAACTCACTCAACATTGTTAGAAATATTCAACTTATTGTTAAGTAACAACATTTAACATGAAGAAAATCTTAGTATAAACTGTACCTTCCATGTAATTTTTTCAGTATCATAAATTCCTCCCATATCTAATAATTGTCTGATTAACTCCAGGGGTGGCTGTGCTCCATACATATCTGATTCTGGCATATTCAGATCATCAATAAAAATTACAATCTTAAAGAAGACAAAAGGTTTTAAAAAATATATTAAACTCTATTTATGAATTAGGAATATTAAATATGCTATGCTAAGAATATGCTAAGAAGAAAATTTTATGTAATGATGTGTAGTTTTCTATTAAAAAGTAGATGATCAAATTCTATTTTGAAGATATGATTTTAGAAAACAGTAATCACTCAAAATAGTGGAAACTCTACTCATTCTCTATAGACTTCCAATAATTGTATCTAATTATAGTTAGAAATGTATTTGATGGTGGAAAGTAATCTTATCAAGGCTATTACACAGGAACATGGATATTATTCATGCAGCATTTACCTATTGCATGCCTGCTATTGGCAATGCACTGTTTTAGGTATTTCATCATTTATTTAACATGTGTCCTGATTTAGGAATAAAATTGTAATCTGGAACTAAAATTTTGAAATTCTGCTGCAAATGCTGTTGTCAGGGGCAACCAGCAGAAAAGTCAGGTACATTTCCAGTTTTTAAACCTGTGTTACTTTCTACCTTTGAAACTATTATGCATTTAAGTGTACTGATTGTATTAATTATATCTTCATGAATTAGCCCCTTTTGATTACATTTATTTTTGTAAAACAAGTAAAGATTTAAAAAATACAGACAGCCATTTATTTTGAATTATCTAATTATATAATTTGTAACTATCATATCAATATCATCTTTTTTTGGGTAAGATACTCTGCCCTCTATCACAAACTGGGTAATTACAGGTAAACCAATTTGACCAAAATTTCGCCTACTTGCGTTTTTCATTTCTGTGATTAGGTTGACCAATTATTATTCCTTTCAAAATCCTTAAGACATACCCAATTAAGTAAAGACTCATAAAATTTATTTAAATCTTCAGTTAAAATTAAGGAAGGGAAATCTGAACCAAACCCTTGAAAGCTCTCAAAATTGATGGGTACAGGGGCTAAACTCAGGGGCTCTTAAGGGCCACCATGTGATTTTCTTACTAATCAATCCTGAATCTTGACCTTCAGCTTATTTTAGGAAATGACTGGAACCACTGATTATAAATTTCAGTTGTGACAGAGGGTTTGGTTCAACAAGTGAACAGTTAGTAATGCACCAAGCAGACTGACGATAAAAATAAGGAACGCCCAGTACCACTTCAAGAAAGCAGGAGCTGTCCGAGTTATTACCAAGCTATTCTCCTAGTCCCTTTCCTTGATGCTGTGGATATCACAAAGTTCTCTCCCTTTCTTTTGGAAAATAATGTGCTGACATATACAGTAAATGGTCACTGACATCTAACGCATTTTCTGGGCTTGTCTGCTCACATTTAATTCAGATTCCAGTAGCTTCTTTAGGCCTTAATAATTCTGAATCAGTACAATTCTTCATGTTGTAAATGGAGTTATATTGATCTGGAAACCAAAGTTTCCATTATAAAGTGAATTTTCTAGTAATGTTCAGGAGTATAGTTACACTTGTCTTTACCCATATATTAGTATTAATTAAAATAAGTCACTATCACTTGAGTAGTATAAGCATATTAGTCAACAGGTATGGGAGATGTTTTACCCTATTATTTTTTGGTGCTCCAAGAGAGTCTTTAGATCTTCTTACTAACTTCTTAAGAATCATCTCCTTAGTTTTGGCAGCTGACGTATTGATGTTAAAATTTATTGCAGAGACTATAATTCCTTTATTATCATTTTTAAATGAACTTTCACCAGCTTTAACTTCTGCCTTTTTAGTAATCTTATCTATGACACCACATATAGAAAAAGGTCAAGTTAGAATAGTTTCAGAATATTTGTGCTTTACTAAGTTATTAAAAATATAAAAATCACATAATTTTACTTTACTATTGTCCTTTTCAAGAAATTACTCTGAGGACATTTCAGTGAGAGAAGGAATACCAACTATAAAATGTTTCCAAGTATTTCCTTACTTTTGTGTGGTTGAGAGTGTTTCTTTGCAACCCCACAGACTGTAGCCTGCCAGGTTTCTTTGTCCATGGGATTTCTCGGCAAGAATACTGAAGTGGGTTGCCATTTCCCACTCTAAAGAATCTTCCTGCCCCAGGGATCGAGCCTGCATCTCCTACATTGGCAGGCGGATTCTTTACTACTGAGTCACCTGGGAAACCCATGAAAACTCATAGAACCCTCTTTTTATTTATGCACAATGCACACATATAACTTTCTCTGCTTTTAAAATATTTAGATTTCCAACATACTATATTTATAACAAAATTACACATGAAACTCTAAAAGCAGCATGTAGGCACTGAAATTAGGACACATTCCTTGAGTGAGCATCATCTAGAAGGATTGTTTGGGATGGATGATTATTTTGGTAAAAACAAAACCAAACAACTCTTCTGGCAGGAATCTGGGGGCCAGACTCCCTTTCCCATTCTATAGCTATCTCTGGACCACCCATCTTTTCCTCTTCAGAACAGAGCTGTTGCTCCCCACACTACTAAATCAGATTTTTAAGGCTGAGGCTCCTGAAGCTCTATTTGAGAACGGCTATAGAATCACAACTTTTCTACTGCAGCATTTCTAAAAGCATTAAAGAGCAGGATAGACAAATATTGCTTTCAGTTACTTCTAGACTTAGTCTGTTTCTACTGATGAGCCAGGATACCGGCTTTCTGGTAAGCTGTGTTAGTACCCCTCTACCATAAGCATTCTTTCTAGCTTTCGAGTAGGGTGGAAGAGTTTGAGATGATAGAGGATGTTTCTCAGATTTTAAATTTTAAACTAACAATTGAAAATTTTATTCTGAGATATTTGACAGTATATGAAACGATATGATTGAGATAGGAAGGTTTTAAAACTACTGTAATACATACCTAGCCCTCCAGTTGCTGTCTTATGAGTTTCAGAAAGCAAGATGCTGATATTCTGTTTGAAGCTATTGGAATAAAATGTTTTAAGGATTCAAAATTAGCTTATTTACCATAGTAGCCAATTGAACAAAATATACAATGAAAGTATCAGGGTTTGGCTGATTTTACTCTTACTGCCTGCTAGGAAACAACTATACACTTTTTCCTGTTCACACTTAGAAAGATAAAATTAGTTACTATTAGAAGTGATATTCAAATTTAACAAAACATGGGCTTACTCTTAAAAACAAACTGAACAAATTGTTAAAATGCCAAGCTATAGGATATTTTCTATGGATGGTAAGCTATTAACTCTCTTGTCCCTTTATAAAATGCATTTTGCCTTATTGCTCACTCAACAAAAGGCCCATTCACCTTTATTTTGGTTTTGTTGTCAGCGGTTTCTTTTTTTTAATGTTATCTTTCTTTACGGTCACTTCAGTTTAAATACTGAACATATGGTAAAATCAATTTTTTCAGACTCCATTATTCTTGATTATCATAATTCAGATAAGGAAAGGTTCTTATTGTATTAAATGCCTCAAAAATTATTTCTCTGCTTTTTTAAGGCCTTGTTTATGTGTAGAAGGATACTATTAATATTCCAAAATCATCAGTGTGAGAAATAGATGATGGTGGCTTGGACTAAAAGTGACATTGAATAAAAAGAAGCAGAGGAATTCAGGTGTATTTTGAAGACAGCACAGACTTGACAATAGAAGACTGGCTATGCAGCCGAGGAACATGGGGACACGGGGGTTGGGAGGAATCAGACAGGTTACTGGGGATGGGCAGGTGAGGCAAAAAGGGGGAATTCAAAGACGATTTGTAGGTTTCAGGCTTGAATAACTGGGTCTCATTTATTGCAGCGAGACACACTGGAGGAAGAATTGGTTTGGAAGAGAAATCAAGAGTAATACTTTGGCTATGTTAATGTAGGGATGTTCAGGAGATATCCAAGTATACATGTGACACAGGTCGTTGGACATATTAGACTCATGATTAGAGGAAAGGTCCAATATGAATCTCTCCACAATTACAGTTTCTTATTTAATTCAAACAATGTTGGGCTTCTCTAATATTTTAACAGAATCAGAATCAACTTAAAACACTTACAATCTTTATTTGCACAATTTAGATTTCTTTTTCATTCCTTTTTTTCCTCAGGAAGAGACACACAGAATGACAAAGTTCTTTGTAAAGAATACTTTTTATATTTGATAAGAAGAAAATTTATTTTTAATGCAAAAAACTAAAATACAAACCCCAGATATATGCAACATCATATTTGTATGTTTTAGTTGCATTTTTCCAGGAAGGAAAATAGCTTGTAATTGTACTTTGTTATGTAGAACAAACTGAGATCTTAAATTTAGTTTTTTTATTTAAAATAATTGTAAGAAACTTTCACTTAAAGAAATTAATCTAGTTGTTAATACTGTGGAAAAGTAGAGATTTTCTTCTCACTTCTCTTTTGAATAATTCTGTATCTTCACATAACAGGTTTGCTTCTTTAAAATAAGTTACATTTATACGTTAAGGCAAACTATGTTTTTACCAGACAAATCAAATTTAGAGTTTAATGTATACAACCTTGATTTTTTAATTTCATTATATAATAGGACTTCTCCTAAAATTGATCCATATTTCACATCAAGTGCTCCTGAGCCCTCTAACTTTTCAAGCATTTGATTAATGGCAGCAGTTTTTCCAACTCCAAAGTCTCCTAAGGGAAAAAATATGTTAGGCTAGATTTATATACAAGAAAATGAGTAGATGCTAACATATTAAAATGAAACAATAACATTTGATATTTGAGAATTGCATGAAAACTATTTTTTCTGTCTCATTTAAAAAATGTGGTTAAGAATGGGTGAACAAGGTAGTATGTAAACCTCTCAAAATCATTTGAATTATTTACATCTTTTAAAAAAGAAAAGATCAGGAGTTAATCATTATCTTTTATTTAATGTTCATTTACATCTATGGCAAATGTTTCTGCTTACAGCACAGCAGAACTACTACATGAAATTAGTTTTCCCTGAAATTTTTTGCCAATCCAATCTGGGAGACAAATTTGATAACTAGCGATTTACTGCAACAGAACAGAAAATTATGACTCTATAATTTACCAAATATTAAGTAAAACTAAGAATTTCCTTTGACCAAACTGAAGGCAAGGTATGGATTATCTGAGAGTTCCAGCTTCATTTTGCCTGAATACTTTGAATACAGAACTGGGAAAGTGATACTATTGCTTTTGGTGAAAGGCAACACAACTTAGAAAAGATAACTGAATGGGTTGAAATAAATGTTAAGAAAGAGCAGAATCTGTATTTAATTTCTCCTTTGATAATGGTAAAGGGTTGAAATAGTTTAACAATGGGCTGAAGAATTATGTGTACACTTTTTTTTTAAAATCAGGCAGTTTCTTTTTATTTTTGACTTGCATGTAGTTATGTATTTAAACTGAAGTAAATCAATCAATGATGCAATGGTCCTCTAAGGACCTTAGCCCAGAGGCTATATAGGTCATATTTATATTAATCCAATATTTCTACTTCTGGAATTTGCCTTGAAGGTAATGAAAAGAGGAAAAAGATTTATAATGTTCTGCATTGGCAAACAGGGTTTCCCTGGTGGCTCAGCAATGAAGAATCTGCCTGCAATGCAAGAGATGTGTGTTCGATCCCTGGGTAGGGAAGATCCCCTGGAGAAGGAAATGGCAACCCATTCCAATATTCTTGAGTGGGAAATCCCATGGACAGAGGAACCTGGCAGACTACAGTCCATGTGGTCGCAAAGAATCAAACACAACTTAGAGACTAAACAGCAAAAATCGGCAAACCTGGGGAAATGGGCATTCGTACACTGTTAGTAAGAATGTATATTGAAAGAGGTACTAAATCTTTTCAGGGCATATTTTTTCCCACTTGTAAAATAAAATGCTTGGACTACATAATGATTAAGCTCTTCCTAACTCTGAAATTATATTTAAATATTTTTAATACCTGTGAGAAGTACTGGGCAGGAATTCTTTAAAAGGAGGCTTACAAGAAAAGAAAGGCATGTTGTGTCTCTGGTAGCAATATAATTAATGCTCTCTCCACATTCTGTCATCTTCAAGAGATTTTCACTGGATCCTTGAGTATCGGCTAGTATTGAAGTTCCTGTTAAAATTTTTAAAAAAGTTTTAAATGACCTATGAATAAATGTTAATTTCATCTTTTAGATACTAAATACTTTCTGGAAAAGTCTATACATTATAAAACAATTTAAATATATACATATAAGCCACTATTGTTGCAAGTGCCTGATCTCAGAAAATTTCCCTTTCATTCATACTTTAGGCTGGTGAACTCACAACACACATTTCTAAGTCCACCACATACAAACTCTGATTTTTCTACCACCAAACATACTCAAATGCCCTCATATGCAACGTAAGTGTCTCCTCTACTTTCCCTCCAGTAAAAATAAAAGTAACTCTCCTGCGAAAGACTCCTGCAATCCTTTTTTAAAGAACATCACTTCTTTGGTAATCCTTCCCCCTCATCACTATCAGTCTCTCCTTTCTATTGGTATTTTCCATTGTATAAACATATATGTGCTAGTATCACCAATCTTTTTAGTGATTGAACCATATGAAATTGATATTTTTCTTAGTAAAAATCAGGTGAATATGGCCAATTTCATGGAAAATAAAATGCACACACACACACACACACACACACACACACACACGCCCCAAACGAAACCAAATCTCTCTTGATCCCATAGCCTATTACACAGCCAAAACCCTCAAAAGGGTTAAATACTACATAGCCTCACTTCCTCATCTTTCATTTTACCCCTTTTTAAATTAAAAATTAATACATTCACATGGTACATATTTCAAAACTATGGTATGCAAAGGTATGCACACATGGTCTCTTTCTCATACCTATGTCCTAGTTGGTTACCTAATTCCCAATATGCGGATACTGTTCTGCAATTTTTAAAAAGTTTAGTATAATTTTAGACATTCTTCTTTAACCTTAAAGACTTTTTTCTGATTAACATTGCATTTAATGAATATATAATAAAATATTCACCAAAGCTCCAGTAATAGATATTTATGGCATTTCCAATCTTTTGCTATTACAAATAAAGCTAAGTATATGTCATTTTTGGACATATGTCAAATAATTTCTTCTAAGTAGAGTTGGTGGGTCACTATAAACTTACATATAATTTATAATTTTGATAGATATTGACAAATTGTCCTCTAATGTTTGAAAGTCTTTGAGGCCTTACCCCTTTGCCAAAAGTATCAAACTTATAGGTGAAAAAAAATGTATCTAATTCTAGTTTATTTTGCATTTCTTTTATTATGAGTCAACTCTTTATATCTCAGAGCCATTTGTTTTTCTATGAACTATTTATTTATATTCTTTATCCATTTTTTTCATAGAAAATGGGCAACTGGTCTTTTATTTTGAACTGTAGAAGCTACTTACATATTTTAAAAATTAGCCTTTTGTAATACACGACTTAATGACTGAATAACAGGTTTGGTAAGCATGTGATTTGCTTCCAAGATATAACAGGTAGCAGTTTTGCCAAGTGGTTAGCCATGGCATAACAGGGGTCATGAGCATTCAAGCAAGACTTCTGCACTGAGTCTTTGCTGCCAACATCTGACTTTTAAATTAGTGTCAGGTATCATGATTTTTTTTCAAGTTACTGCCTTATTTATAGGTACTAAATTCTATATTAATTATGATACAAGTTCTGTCTGCTCTAGTAAGGATACAAATATAACAATGGTGTTTCAAAGGTGGAATTTTATTATTCTCTTACAAAACAGTCCAGGGCTTATATGTAAGCACTACAGTATCAGGAACCCACACTTGGCTTCTTTCATCTTTTTTTTTGCCATTGTTAACATGCACTTCCCATATCTAGGTCCCAGATGGTTATTTAGGTCCTGCCACCATATTTGCAACTCAGAAGCTGAATTTGCATCTCAGAAAACATTAACATTAATACATTCTTTTTTTTTTTAAATAGGAGGATGATTGCTTTACAGTGAGTCTTGGTTTCTGCTGTACAATGACACAAATCAGCCATAAGCATATATATATTCCCCCCCTCTTGAACCTCCCTCCCACTTCCCCCCATCTCACCCTTCTACATCGTCACAGAGCACTGGGCTGAGCTCCCTGTATTATATAGCAACATTCCACTAGCTATCTCTTTTACACATGATAATGTACATATTTCAAGGCTATTTCTTCAATTCATCCCACCATCTCCTTGTGCCATTATTCACTTCTGTTCACATTTCATTGTCTAAAACTGGGTTATACGGCCACATTTAGCTGCAAGGAAGGTTTAATTGGAAAACCAATTGACCACAAGAATACTTTATTCACAGAGAGACAGGAAAGCATGGAGATGATTGACAAGAAGCAGTTTACGCCACACACGGTATTAACATAAGAGGAATATGGAAAGAAAAGTAGGATCAACTTATAATAGTCCCAAATTGTCTAATATTACTATTAACTTTGCCACCATGAAAATCCTATTATTCCATCTTGTTACTGAAGAAGGAAACGTAATATGTTTTCCTACATCCCCACTCAGGATTCACTGGAAATTGCTTTATTAATAAAAATGAATAAATATTTATTGAATATTAATGAATGTTGAGCTTCAGAATACATCCTTGGTGACCACAGATTTGTTGCTGCAGTTGCTAAGTCATGTCCGGCTGTTTGCAGCCCAATGGACTGCAGCACACCAGGCTTCCCTGTCCTTCACTATCTCCTGGAGTTTGCTCATGTCCACTGTGTTAATGATGCTATCCAACCATCTTATCCTCAGTTGCCCACTTCTCCTACCTTCAATCTTTCCCAGCCTCAGAGTCTTTTCCAATGAGTTGGTTCTTCACATCAGGCAGCCAAAGTATTGGAGCTTCAGCTTCAGCAACGGTCTTTCCAATGAATATTCAGGGTTGATTTCCTTTAGTATTGAGTGGTTTGATTTCCTTGTTGTGCAAGGGACTCTCAAGAGTCTTCTTCAGCACCACAGTTCAAAAGCATCAATTCTTGTGCCCAACCTTTTTTATGGTCTAACTCTCACATCCATACATGACCACTGGAAAAACCATAGCTTTGACTAGATGGACCTTTGTTGGCAAAGTGATGTCTCTGCTTTTTAATATGCTTTTTCAGTTTGTCATAGCTTTCCTTCCAAGGAGTAAGCGACTGTTAATTTCATGGCTGCAATCACCGTCCGCAGTGATTTGGGAGCCCAGGAAAATAAAATCTGTCACTGTTTCCACTTTTTCCCCTTTTATTTGCCATGAAGTGGTGAGACTGGAAGCCATGATCTTAGTTTTTTGAATGCTGAGTTTTAAGCCAGCCTTTTCACTCTCCTCTTTCACCCTCATCAAGAGACTCTTTAGTTCCTCTTCACTTTCTGCCATTAGAATGGCATCATCTGCATATCTGAGATTGTTCCTGGCGATGTTGATTCCAACTTGTGATTCATCCAGCCCGGCATTTTGCACAATGTACTTTACATATAAGTTAAATAAGCAGAGTGATAATATACAGCCTTGATGTACTCCTTTCCCAATTTGGAACCAGTTGGTTGCTCCACGTCCAGTTCTAACTGTTGTTTCTTGAACTGAATACAGATTTCTCAGGAGGCAGGTCAGGTGGTCTGGTATTCCCATCTGTTGAAGAATTTTCCACAGTTTGTTGTGATCCACACAGTCAAAGGCTTTAGCATAGTCAGTGAAGCAGAAGTACATGTTTTTCTGGAATTTGTTTGCTTTCACTGTGATCCCACAAATGTTGGCAATTTGATCTCTGGTTCCTCTGCCTTTTTAAAATCCAGCTTGTACATCTGAAAGTTCTTGGTTCACGCACTACTGAGGCCTGGATTGAAGTACTTGAGAATTACCTTGCTAGCATGTGAAATTAGTACAGTTGTATGGGTTTGAATATTCTTTGGCATTGCCCTTCTTTGGGATTGGAATGAAAACTGACCTTTTCCAGTCTTGCAGCCATTGCTGAATTTTCCAAATTTGCTGACATATTGAGTACAGCACTTTAACAGCATCATCTTTTAGGATTTTAAATAGCTTTGCTGGAATTCTGTCACCTCTACTACCTTTGTGTGTAGTAATGCTTCCTAAGGCCCACTTGACTTCATACTCCAGGATGTTTGGCTCTAGGTGAGTGACCACACCATCGTGATTATTTGGATCATTAACACCTTTTTTGTATAGTTTTTCTGTATATTCTTGCCACTTCTTCATAATCTCCTCTGCTTCTGTTAGGTCCTTGATGTTTCTGTCCTTTCTTGTGCCCAATCTTGCATGAAATGTTCCCTTGGTATCTCTAACTTTCTTGAAGAGATCTCTATTCTTTCCCATTATATCATTCCCATCCTATTGTTTTCCTTTATTTCTTTGCATTGTTCACATAAGAAGGGCTTCTTATCTCTCCTTGCTATTCTCTGAAACTCTGCATTCAGCTAGGTATATCTTTTCCTTTTTCCCTTGTTTTTTGCTTCTCTTCTTTCCTCTGCTATTGTAAGGCCTCCTCAGACAAACACTTTGCCTTCTTGAATTTCTTTTTCTTTAGGATGGCTTTGGTCACCACCTCCTGTGCAATGTTATGGACCTCTGTTCATAGTTCTTCAGGCACTCTGTCTACCTGATCTAACCCCTTGAATCTATTCATCTCCTCCGTTGTATAAACATAAGGGATTGGATTTAGATCATATCTGAATGACCTAGCGGTTTCCCCTACTTTCTTCAATTTAAGCCTGAATATGGAATGAGGAGTTCATAATCTGAGCCACAGTCAGCCCCAGGTCTAATTTTTGCTGACCGTATAGAGCTTCTCTATCTTCAGCTGCAAAGAATATAATCAGTATGATTATTGTCATCTCTCACATTGTTGAAAGGGGTTTGCTGTGACCAGTGTGTTCTCTTCACAAAACTCTGTTAGCCTTTGCCCTCCTTCATTTTGAACCCCAAGGCCAAAATTTCCTGTTACTCCAGGTATCTCTTGACTTCCTATTTTTGCATTCCAATCCCCTATGATGAAAAGGACATCTATTTTTGGTGTTAGTTCTAGAAGGTCTTGAAGGAATGGTAACCACTCCAGCATTCTTGCCTTGAGAACATCATAATCAGTATGAAAAGACTATAGATTAGGGGTACTCTTTTTAAACAAAAAATGCTTTCAGGAAAAAATCTTTAATCATAAAAGGTTATTTTTGAAGTGTGATGCTCAAACAATCTTTTATACTATGGGTTACCATGGGAAAAATGATATTGATATCCTTAAATGTTATGAATTAATGATGTTAAATACTTAGTCTTTTATTTTAGATTAAAATTGATGTATGATATGATTTAATTTATACATGATAAACTGATCCTATATTTAATACTTAATTGTACCTATACTTTCACGTATATATATTTGTTGTTGTTCAGGTGCTAAGTTATGTCTGAGTCTTTGCAACCGCATGGACTGCAGCATGCCAGGCTCCCCTTTCCTTCACTATCTCCCAGAATTTGCTCAGATTCATGTCCATTGAGTTGGTGATGCTATCTAATAATCTCATCCTCTGCTGCCCCCTTCTCCTTTTGCCTTTAATCTTTCCCAGCATCAAGGTCTTTTCCAATGAGTAGGCTCTTTGCTTCAGTGGCCAAAGAATTGGAGCTCCAGTTCCAGCATCAGTCCTTCCAGAGCAAAAGTAAGAGTTTTAAAAGGGAGGTGCAAAGCTTCTCTGAAGGGAGAAGTCTTGGAACTTCTGTCCATTGTCTTCATGTACTTGGAGTGTGCTCCTTGCAACCAAGATCTGCAGTGACCTCTCTGCAAGAACCATATCAAGCTGCTCTTCATTCAACAGATTGGATCTAATTGAGTATGGGTTTACAGTGCTCCTGACCCTGGAACTTGCTATCTTCCCAGAGACCAACGTAGCCTGGTCTGACACCAGGACTTTTGATTTGCATTATATAGTGGTGAATCAAAAATGATACGGTGATACTAAGATTACTGTTATGAGTTTGGGTTTGAAAGCTTGGAGAGTTTGAATTTCTCCTAAACCCTTGCCTGCAATTAGTGTAAGTTGGGGCCAGAAGAAGCAATGTCTTAGATTTGGAGAAAACACCTCTGTAATTTCCAGTAAGGGTGGAATGGTACACTAAGACACTGAGTTATGTGCATTGATGATAGTTCAGTTTTTTTTCATGTTGAAAACTAAGGATAAAAATGACCAATATTAGCATTACCATATGATACACAATTTGGGGTTTCAAATAACTGTAATACTGTGGTAAATATTGTACCATAGAACCTTGTTATTTCCAATGAAATTAATTTAGATTTAGAATTTTCTGGTTGCTTGATGTTTCTGAGATTTCTGGTTGTTTTCTGTCAAAAACTCTTATAACTAAAATATGAAACTCTCTATGAGAGAAACCTCATTTCAAAGTAATTAAGTTCAATTTGCATTCATTGAATTTTTTATATTTGCAAGAAATCTACATGAAGCATTTTAGTCCATATTAAGCTCCTGCCTCAATTCCAACTAAACTCTCGAAGTACAACAATTTTGTTATCTTTTTCTTCTATACATATAAGATTGAGAATAAAAATGATTTAGCACATATGCATATTTGTCCAACTACAATTATTCATTTTTACCTAGCAAGTTCCTTTACAATTGAAATGCTACATGTATGTTTTACTTGTTCTAGAAGAGTTCCTTTCCCTTTTTTCCTTTCAACAATTATGCTAATTAAAATATTGAGCACTTCCACTAGCAAGATTTTTAGTTAACTAAAATTTAAAAATGTACAAGTCTCAATCAAATACTAATACATTTAAATTTGCTCAGAAAGCAATATTAAAAGGTTATTTTTTTTTTTAAAGGTTATTTTTAAAGACTATTTTGTAAACAGATCCAAATGAGTTCCTGAACAGACTTGGAATACATCAGCCCTCAGTGCTGATATAACCACTTTTATATATAAAATAATATCAATACTTTAGAGAAATTAGAGCATGGCTCTTAAAATAATTCTTACCTCTTTGTATTAGTGTCTGAATATTAGGAAGTAATTCTGACCATGGTATAAATTCACATTGCTGTATATCCACAAAATATGCAAAGATAGAATGTTCACCATTTGGAAGGTTGATACCTACATTTGAAAATGATAAATAAATAAAGAGTCTCATTCATGTAATGTTTAACTAAAAATATGATCTCTATTTGAAAGATATGATTGTTTGAACAGAAATAATAATTCTTCATTAAAGTTATAACCAAACACATAAAATAGGCCTATCATCTTTCCTTCTAATCTTTAATTGTATAAAAGCAAAGCTTTATTATCTCTGACTTATTTTGGATCCAGAAAGTAAGATGAATAATTCATTATCTGATATTGTTTGAAATCTTACCCAGAAGTTCTGATTATTATCATGTGCTGTATATTATTCATTTCAGTTCAGTTCAGCCACTCAGTCGTGTCTGACTCTTTGCAAATCCATGGATTGCAGCATGCCAGGTCCATCACCAACTCCTGGAGTTTACTCAAACACATGTCCATTGAGTCGGTGATGCCATCCAACCATCTCATCCTCTGTCATCCTCTTCTCCTCCTGCCTTCAATCTTTCCCAGCAACAGGGTCTTTTCAAATGAGTCAGTTCTTCGCATCAAGTGGCCAAAGTATTGGAATTTCAACTTCAGCATCACACCTTCCAATGAATCTTCAGGACTGATTTCCTTTCGGATGGACTGGTTGGATATCCTTGCTGTCCAAGGGACTCTCAAGAGTCTTCTCCAGCATCACAATTTGAAAGGATCAATTCTTTGGAGCACAGCTTTCTTTATAGTCCAATTCTCACATCCACACATGACTACTGGAGAAACCATAGCTTTGACTAGACAGACCTTTGTTGGCAAAGTAATGTCTCTGCTTTTTAATATGCTGTCTAGGTTGGTCATAACTTTTCTCCCAAGGAGGGAGCATCTTTTAATTTCATGGCTGCAGTCACCATCTGCAGTGATTTTGGAGCCCCCCAAAATAAAGTCTCTCACTGTTTCCATTGTTTCCCCATCTATTTGCCATTAAGTGATGAGATCAGATGCAATGATCTTAGTTTTCTGAATGTTGGGTTTTAAGCCAACTTTTTAACTCTCCTCTTTCACTTTCATCAAGAGGCTCTTTAGTTCTTCTTTGATTTCTGCCATTAGAATGATATTGTCTGCATATCTGAGATTGTTCATATTCTTCCTGGCAATCTTGATTCCAGCTTGTGCTTCATCCAATCCAGCATCTCTCATGATGTATTCTGCATGTAAGTTAAATAAGCAGGGTGACAATATACAGCCTTGATGTACTCCTTTCCCAATTTGGAACCAGTCGGTTGTTTCATGCCCAGTTCTAACTGTTGCTTCTTGACCTGCATATAGATTTCTCGGGAGGCAGGTCAGGTAGTTTGGTAGTCCCATCTCTTTCAGAATTTTCCACAGTTTGTTGTGATCCACAAAGTCAAAGGCTTTGGCATAGTCAATAAAACAGACGTTTTACAGATGTTTTAAAGATGATTTTCTGGAACTGTTGTTTTTTTGATGATCCATCAGATGTTGGCAATTTGATCTCTGGTTCCTCTGCCTTTTTAAAACCAGCTTGAACATCTGGAAGTTCATGGTTCACATATTGCTGAAGCCTGGCTTAGAGAATTTTGAGCATTACTTTGCTAGCGTGTGAGATGAGTGCAACAGTGCAGTAGTTTGAGCATTATTTGGCATTGCCTTTCTTTGGGACTGGGATGAAAACTGACCTTTTCCAGTCTTGTGGCCACTGCTGAGTTTTCCAAATTTGCTGGTATATTGAGTGCAGCACTTTCACAGCATCATCTTTTAGGATTTGAAATAGCTCAATTGGAATTCCATAAACTCCACTAGTTTTGTTCATAGTGATGCTTCTTAAGGCCCACTTGACTTCACATTCCAGAATGTCTGGCTCTAGGTGAGTGATCACACCATTGTGGTTATCTGAGTCATTGTTGGCAAATAATTTTTCATAGTATTCCCTTATGGTTATGTTGTTGCTGTTATTGTCAGTTGTTATTTCTCCTCTGTAATTTCTTATTTTGTTTATTTGGGCCCTATCTCTTTTCTTCTTGGTAAGATTAGCCAGAGGTTTACTGATTTTTGTTTACTCTTTCAAAGAACCAGCTCTTGGTTTTGGTGATGCTTTATTATTGTTTTTCTAATCTCCATTTTATTCATTTACTCTTTGATTTTTATTTCCTTATTTTTGCTGATGTTAGATTTTGTTTGTTCTTTTTCTAATTATTTTAGATGATAGGTTAGTTTGAGATTTTTCTTGTTTTTTGAGGAAGACCTATATCACTATGCATCTTCCTCTATGAACTGCTTTTGCTGAACCCAATAGGTTTTTTACAGCAGTGTTTTCATTGCCATTTGCCTCAAGGTATTTTTTAATTTCCTTTTTGATTTCATCATAGATCCATTGGATTTGTAGTAGCATTTTGTTTTGCCTCAATATAATCATTCTTTTGCTCATTTTTCCTTGTGGGATTAATTTCTAATATTTTTGTGATATGTGGTCAGAAAATATGCTTGAAATAATTTTTATCCTCTTAAATTTGCTGAGGCTTGTTTTGTGTCCAAGTATATGGTCAACCCTAGAGAATGTTCCAAGTGCACTTGAAAAGAATATGTATTCTGGTTTTTCTGCATGTAATGTCCTGAGAATATCAATTAAGTCTAACTGTTTTATTTTATCATTTATTATCTCCATTGCTTTATTGATTTTCTGTCTGGAGGATCTCTGTCCACTGGCATGACAGGGTATTAATGTCTCCTATTATTATTTTATTTCTGTCAGTTTCTCCCTTTATTTCTGCTAATACTTGTTTGATTTTTGTGGGTGCTCATATTTGGGCACCCACTCATATTTGGGTGCTCATATATGTTAATGACTGTAATATTCTCTTCTAGTATTGATTGTTTTTATCATTATATAATGTCCTTCTTTATCTTTATGGCCTTTTAAAAAAAGTTTATTTCGTCTTATATGAATATTGCTATCCCTGCTTGACATTTCAGTTTGCATGAAATATACTTTTTCATCCCATCATTTTCAATCTATGTTTGTCCTTTGCCCTAATGTGGGTTTCTCATATCTGTATATCTGTTTCCTTCTTCAGATTTGGAAAGTTTTCAGCCATAGTCTCTTTTTCAAAGTTATTTTATACTTTTTAAAAAAGAAATTTATTTTTAAGTGATTGGTGATTGGTTTACAATATTGGTTTGATTTCTGCCATACATCAACATGAATTAACCATAGGTGTACATATGTACCCTCCCTCTTGAATCTCCCTCCCACCTTCTGTCAGCCGTAATTTTTTCAAATACATTTTTTATTCCCTTTTCTCTTTTGCCTCCTTCTGGTATTCTTTCTATGTATAGAGTTGAATGCATTATATTATTCAATAGCTCTCATATATTGCTTTAATTTCTTTTTCATTTGTCTTCCCTTTGCTCTTCTGACTGAGTGATTTCCATTATTCTATCTCCCAGGTCACTTTTTCATTCTTCTGCTTGGTACAGTTTGCCATCATTGCCTTTAGCTCAGGTTTTGTATTAGAAAATGAGTTTCCAAATTTTAATTGGCCTCTGTTTGTAATTTTAGTTCCTTTTACAGTAATCTGCATTTCTACTAATAACCTTTCTTAACTCCTTCAGTATTTTCATTAACTCCTTTTTGAACTTGTGATTTGGTAGACTGGAAATACTTGTTTCACTGTTTGTTCTTTCAGAGGAATTATCTTGATCTTTTAATTAGTGGTTCCTCTGCTTCTTCATTCTACTCATATTTCTCTGACTCTGAGTTTAGGAGAAATAGTTATGTACTGTGGTCTTAAAGGGCTGTTTTTAATGTGAGAGTGTCCCCATGTAGATAGACTCCATGAGTCTAGTAATTTTTGTTAGAGGCTCTTTTTAGTATGAATGTCTGCCTTCTCTTTATTCGGTGTATGTGGACCATTATCCCCTTGATAGGGGTTATGATTGGTGTTGGGATGGCCAGAGCCTACACTGGATGTTGAGCTGGGCCTCCTCCTTGTTGTGCAGTTATCACAGTCCTATTAGGGATGTTAGAGTATACTTATTTAACCATCTTTTACCACTAATCTTCACATTTAAAATAGATGAGCTAAATAAATATAAATCCAATGATGAGTTTCAAATTAACATTTTGAAGTATGCATAATTATGACTTTTCCCTCAGAACTTACCTATTTGTGCATTGCTTTCAAATAATTCACGAACAAGATTGTCAAAATCATAAGTTACTCTTGCAGGTGAATCAGGTTCAGAACTTGGATAAAATATTATATCATCTTCATGTTCATCTTCACGTTGTAAAGTTCCTCCAAATGCCCAAGTAAATGCAAACACAAAAAGCTTTTGAATTGTTTTTTTCAACTTAATAGGATTTTTCTCCATGTGCCAGGCATTTTCTCCCCTGTGGTAGGTAGATGCGGAAAGGTGAAGATTAAAACTTTTAGAAAGCAGTCCAGCAATTTATTGCACTATCACATCAAAATTTTGTTACTAAAATTTTTTACAGTTAAGTATTAACATGGAAGTTTTAGAGTTAATGTATAATTTACCTTTGATAAGTCATGTAAATTATACACTGATACTATTTTTATTTTTGAAGTACCATATGTGTAAAAGATTTGTAGTCAAAACTTTATTTCAGGTAATAAATGACATTCACTTTTATTTTAGGCCAATTTGTTGCTTAAGAGTTCATCTGTCTCTTAGGAGAGAATCTGTTAAGTCTCCATTTAATGCAGAAAGACATAAATGAATAATCATTCACTCTGTACTCTTCTCAAACAAGTCCTATAGGTTGATTGAAATCAAATTGGCTAAAAGCAGGCAGTGTGAATCTGGGGCGAGTCTTCTCCAGTCTGGGTCAACTCAGGTTATCTTGGGCTGTGGGACTCTCAAATAACATAGTAACAGCACCAATGATGCTGGGGCTAACCAAAAGATTTGGGCCTGATTTCAGGATATTTTGAATGGTTCAAGATTTCATTTTCATAAAATTACTTTTAAATTATGAAAATTCTAAAAATGTATCACTGAACTTTATTGGCAATTATTAATGTATAATGCATGTATATAGTCCTATTTGACATTTCTCCTCACATGTAAGAGTTTGTTCAGCAAATTTTTTTTGAATTCCTACTATATCTCAGTTACTCTGAACAAAACAAATATGATCACTTATTTTGGAGATAAGAAAATGAATACCAAACCATGATATGTGTAAAGAGTAAAGAGTCGAGCATACTGTGAAGAATATTAGTAGAGATGACCAATTTAAAGTTTGTGAGTCAAGGAAGACTTCTTTGAACAAATAACAGTTAAATTGAGAACTGAAGAATGAGTGCAATTTTGAAAAATGTAAGAGGAAGAACATTTTGAGAAGACATACATGTGTGAAGACCATGAGGTGAAATGGTTACAACAAGTTTGAAGAACTGAAAAAAAAAAAAAATCCAGTGTCTTTGAAGCATACCTAATTAGTTGAAAAGTTTAGGAGATAAGTCTGGAGATATAGGCAGGGGATTTTTAAGCTGTGCCAAAACTTTTCTCCTTCCACTCTAAATGTAATGCAAAGTTATTAAATGGCTATAAAACAGAGGAACATTCTAATTTATGTTTTTTAAAAATCAAACTCTTGCATATAAATACCAGGAGACACACACAAGAAGAATAATCACAATAATATTCGTAAAAACCAAAAAATTGAAAAAAACAACCTACGCTTTGTTGTTGTTGTTGCTGTTCAGATGCTAAATCATGTCTGACTCTTTGTGACCCCAGGGACTGCAGCACGCCAGGCTCCCCTGTCCTCCACTACCAAAGTTTGCTCAGATTCATGCCCATTGGGTTGGTGATGCCATCTAATTATGTCATCTTTTGCTGCCCCCTTCTCATTTTGCCTTCAATCTTTCCCATCATTAGGGTCTTTTAAATGAATAGGCTCTTCGCATTAGATGGCAAAAGTATTGGAGTTTCAGCTTCAGCATCGGTCATTCCAATGAATATTCTTGGGGTTGATTTCCTTCAGTATTGACTGGTTTGATCTCCTTGAAGATCAACGGACTCTCAAGAGTCTTTTCCAGCACCACTTTTGAAAAGCATCAATTCTTTAGCACTCAGCCTTCTTTATGGTCCAACTCTAACATCCATACATGGCTACTGGAAAAATCATAGCTTTGGCTATCTGAATCTTTCCCAGCAAAGTGAAGTCTCTGCTTTTTAATATGCTGTCTAGGTTTGTCATAGTTTTCCTTTCAAGGAGCAAACATATTTTAATTTCATGACTGCAGTCACTTACCTCAGTAATTTTGGGGCCCAAGAAAAGAAAATCTATCACCTCTTCCACTTTTTCCCCTTCTATTTGCCATGAAGTGAGGAGACCAGATGCTGTGACTTTAGTTTTTTTAACGTTGAGTCTTAAGCCGGCTTTTTCACCATCCTCTTTCAGCCTCATCAAGAGACTCTTTAGTTCCTCTTCACTTTCTACCATTAGAGTGGTATCATCTACATGTCTGAGGTGGTTCATATTTCTCACAGCAATCTTGATTCCAGCTATGATTAATCCAGCCTGGCATTTCTCGTAATGTACTCTGCATAGAAGTTAAACAAGTAGGGTGACAATATACAGCCTTGACATACTCCTTTCCCAATTCAGAACTAGTCAGTTGTGCCATGTAATGTTCCAACTGTTGCTTCTTGACTTGCATACAGGTTTTTCAGGACAGGTAAGGTGGTCTGGTATTCCCATCTCTTGACGAACTTTCTACAATTTGTTGTGATCCACACAGTCAAAGAGTTTAGCATAGCCAATGAAGCAGAAGTAGATGTTTTTCTGGAACTCCCTTGTTTTCTGTATGATCCAATGAATGTTAACAATTTGATCCCTGGTTCCTCTGCCTTTTCTAAATCTACCTTGTACATCCAGAAGTTCTAAGTTCATGTACTGCTGAGGTCCAGCTTAAAGCATTTTGAGCATAATCTTACTATCATGTGAAATGTCTGCAATTGTTCAGTAGTTTGAACATTCTTCAGCATTGTCTTTGGGATTGGAATGAAAACTGATATTTTCCAGCCCTGTGGCCACTGCTTAGTTTCTCAAATTTGCTGACATATTGAGTGCAACATTTTAACAGCATCATCTTTTAGGATTTTAAATAGCTTAGCTGGAATTCTGTCACCTCCACTAGCTTTGTGTATAATAATGCTTCCTAAGGCCCACTTGACTTCACACTCCAGGATATCTTGTTCTAGGTGAGTGACCACGCCATCATGGTTATCCAGGTCATTAAGACCTTTTTTGTTTGTAATTCTGTATATTATTGCTGCCTCTTCTTAATCTCTTCTGCTTTTGTGAGGCCCTTACCATTTCTGTTGTGTATTGTGCCCATCCTTCCATGAAATGTTCCTTTGATATCTCCAATTTTCTTAAAGAGATTTCCAGTCTTTCCCATCCTATTTTCTTCCTCTATTTCTCTGCACTGTTCATTTAAGAAAGCCTTCTTACCTCTCCTTGCTGTTCTCTGAAATTCTGCATTCAGTTGAATATATCTTCCCCTTTCCCCTTTGTCTTTTCTTCTCTTGCCTTTTGCTTTCTCAGCTATTTGCAAGCCTCCGTAGACAACCATTTTGTCTTCTTGCATTTCTTCTTCTTTTGAATGATTTTAGTCACTGCATCTTGTACAATGTTATGAACCTCTATCTGTAGTTCTTCAGGCACTCTGTCTACCAGATCTAATCTCTTGAATCTATTCATCACCTCCACTGTGTAATCATAAGGGATTTGATTTAGGTCATAATTAATGGCCCAATTTAAGCCTGAATTTTGCAATAAGGAGCTGATGATTTGAGCCACAATCGGCTCCAGGTCTTGTTTTTGCTGACTGTATAGACTATTGTCTTTAATAATTATCTATAATGTCTTTAAAATGTTGTATAAACCATTCAACATCACAGTAATCAAAGTCTATGGCCCAACCACTAATGCCGAAGCTTAAGTTGACTGGTTCTGTGAAGTCCTTAGAACTAACACCAAAAAAAAAAATGTCCCTTTCATCACAGAGGATTGGAATGCAAAAGTAGGAAGTCAAGAGATACCTGGAGTAACAGGCAAGTTTGGCCTTGAAGTACAAAATGAGTTGGGCAAAGACTAACAGTTTTGTCAAGAGAACACACTGATCATAGCAACACCCTTTTCCAACAACACAAGAGATAATTACACATGGATGTCACCAAATAGTCAAAACCTATGCTTATAAATGGACAAATTGTGACATATTTTCACAGAGAAACATGCAGTGAAAATGAATGAAGACCCCCTACATGTACAATGGATTAATCAGCGGGACATAACGTTGAACAAAAATTCAAGTCACAGAAGAACATAGTGATTCCAGTGAAGTTAAAACATGCAAAGTTGAAACATATACTGCTTAGGAATATATTAATAAACATAAAATTCAGTATAGTAGTTATCTCAGATGATGGGATGGCATATGGTTTAGATAGGTACACTAGGAACTTCAAAGATAAACCAGTACTTTTTTTTAATAACTGAGTGGTATATATATGAATGTTTGTGTATTATTATTTATATCTTGCACAGACTTTATAAATATCCTTTTATGGCTACTTGCTATTTAATAAAAATTAAAAATAATATATGGTTGTCATGTTAGATATGGACTAGAAAACTGGAAAAATTTAGGAGGTTATAGCAACAGTATAGGAAAGAAATAATAAACTTTTGGTTTAGGATGCTGATGATCAAGATGTAGATAAAGGAATGAATTTGAAGGCAGAATTGACAGGTAAGAAAAATATTTACAATGTTCTATCATTTAAAAGCAAATGTGGCATAAATGTCTCAGGATCTCATAATGAGATATAGGAAAGCCTCAATAGTGAAACCCTATCCTACAAAATGGCAGAATTGTGGGGTGAGCACAACTATATTGCTATAGTTTCTATAATTATTGAGCATTTACTCTATACCAGCTAGTACTCTAGATATCTGGCACATCACAGCATTATTCCAGTTTTATTTATAAATGAAAAAAATCAGAGATCAAAAATATTTAGTAACTTGTTCAACATTTCTCAGCTCATAAAGGGCAGATACATAAAATAAATTCACATCAACTTTGTCCCACTCTCAAATATGTAGTGTCTGGACAAACGTATTCACATTATTTAGATAACTTACCAAAATCTGGTGATCTTGTATTAAAAATACAGAGACTCTAAACTGGGATAAAATAAATTCAATTGAATTTTGATATTAGGAAGTCACAGATTATTGGTTTATTGACAGATAATCCTGTTTCTATTAGAGTTTTTGGCACTTAGTAGTTAATAAAACATATCTTTGAATGAATGTAGCTGACCTGTTTTCCATATCTTTGAATTTGACAGAAACTTTTGAACGTGAAATTATCTCCTCAGATGAAATGTCCTTCAAATCTTCACCTTAAAAAAGAAAGAGAATTTTCCCACAATTAACAACAGACCTAATATTTAGCTGATTAATTAATGAGGTGTTACCTTTAACATGGGCTTCCACGGGGGCTCAGCCATAAAGATCCACCTGCAATGCAGGAGCTGCAGGAGACACAAGTTGGATCCTTGGGTCAGGAAGATCCCCTGGAGGCGGGCACGACAACCTAATCCAGTATTCTTGCCTGGAGAATCCCAGGGACAGAGGAGCCTGGTGGGCTACAGTTCACAGGGTCACACAGAATCGAACATGACTGAAGTGACTTAGAACACACGCATGCAACTTGACCACTGTTTACTTTGTGAACTGTCATAGAACATCCTTATTTCACATCAGTATCTTAGACTTATCAGACCAACTAGCTATCTTATCCCATCAAAAGTATGTTACTTTTTCTAAGATGAGAGGAGCAGAGCTCCTCTGCAATTGCTGAATTGATTACTATTTATTTGAAGAACAAATCTGTATACATAAGTTCTTCATTCTAATCTAGCAACTTTTTGTAAGTTTGATTATTCCAAAATAAAAACCTTAAAATATTCAGGTCACCACCCTCAAATATGGTGTGCATTACAAAGTAACTAATAAATGAGTTCTAATACATGAAGCATTAAAAAAGAAAGCTTTATGCTTACAAAGAAAAATATATCAAAGTAAACATCACACAGGTATAGTTTTTAGTTGTTTCTTTTCTACTCTCCATCATTCACTTTTTTCTCAAGCCACCCATTTCACAGAGGAACACAAAGAGTGAATGATTATTCATTATTCCTTTAAGCTTTTTTTCTTTTATAATATTTGTCTTCTTTATATTAAAATAACATAGGGAACTTCCAGGAGAATGAACACAGGAAGATGCTGGAAGAGTGATGCTCTCAGAGAGAGATGGAAGCTTCCCACCCTATTCCCCTGTGCTTTGCGCATTTCTCCCACTTGGCTGTTCCTGAGTTATATCCACTGTAAGAAACAGGTGAATGGTGCTCTTGAGTGCCTTCTGTGAGTATCATTCACACGTATTCTGGGGACACTTTCTTCAAAGGACCAGAAAGCATCCAGTTTAATCCCAGATTCATGGGGTTGTTGCAGACCAGATACTGCTTGTCTCACTAAGACAAGAGGTAATCCATCATCGAGTATGAACTGTCAATTCTCTGTGTCTATGCTGTCAAGACTCACAAGTATAAGATGGGATCCTTGCTTACTTCCTAACCAGCAAGATAAGACACGTGGAACCTTCTCCATAGAAAGAAATCTAAAGGGAAATGTGTCATTGCAAAGGCTGAAAGTTATGTTGTTTTTATCAGACTGTGGAGGACTCTACACTCACATTTGAAAAATTACTGTTTAAAACAATACAAACTGTTTTTGAGGGATTGGTGGGGTGAGAAGAAGGGGGAGCAGTGTGGAATTGTGGGAATATCCCTAGTCTGGGAGATAGAACTCATGGATTTTGAGCCCATCTGGAAAATTCTTAAAGAGATGGGAGTATCAAGCCACCTTATTTGTCTTCTGAGAAACCTGTATGCAGGTCAAGAAGCAACAGTTAGAACCAGACAAGGAACAATGGACTAGTTAAAAATTCAGAAAGGAGAATGACAAGGCTTATATTGTCACCCTGCTTATTTAACTTATATGAAGAGTACATCATGAGAAATGCCAGGCTGGATGAATCTCAAGCTAGAATCAAGATTGCCGGGAAAAATACCAATCTCAGATATGCAGGTGACACAACCTTAATGGCAGAAAGTGAAGACGAACTAAAAAGCCTGTTGATGAAGGTGAAAGAGAGTGAAAAAGTTGGCTTAAAACTCAACATTCAAAAAACTAAAATCATGGCATCTGGTCTCATCATTTCAAGGCAAATAGAAGGGGAATAAGTGGAAACAGTGACAGATTTTATTTTCCTGGGCTCCAAAATCACTGTGGACAGTGACTGCAGCTGAAATTAAAAGACACTTGCTCCTTGGAAGAAAAGCTATGACAAACCTAGACAGAGTATTAAAAAACAGAGACATCACTCTGCTGACAAACACCTGGATAGTCAGAGCCATGGTTTTTCCAGTAGTCATGTACATTTGTGCAAGTTGGACCATAAAGAAGGCTGGGAGCCAAAGAATTGATGCTTTTGAACTGTGGTGCTGGAGAAGACTCTTCAGAGTCCCTTGGACAGCAAGGAGGTTAAACCAATTAATCCTAAAGGAAATTAACTCTGAATATTCATTGGAAGGCTGATGCTGATGATGAAGTTCCAATACTTGGGTCACCTGATGTGAAGAGCTGACTCATGGAAAAGACCCTCATGCTAGAAAAGATTGAGGGCAGAAGGAGAAGGGGTGACAAAGGATGAGATGGTTGGATGACATCACCGACTCAATGGACATGAGTTTGAGCAAACTCCAGGAGATAATAAATGACAGGGAAGCAAAGTAAATGACAGAGGTTGCAAAGAGTCAGACACAACTGAGCAACTGAACAACAACAAATGTGCCAAAAATGTTTCTTTTTCTTCCATCTTCAATATTAAAATGGTTACACACACACAAAGGCTTAAAGATTTATATGATCTGAAGAGAAACCAGAGTATTAAATAGCTACATAAAAATTCAGTTGTTTTGATAAGTTTTTTGAAAATGCATGCTCTTATGACAGCTGTCACAGTACAATCTAACAAAAAATTTTTAAATTAAGTTAAAAGATAATTAAGCACAGAACAAACTTTTTGGCCAACCCTCAAAATGTTTTTTTCCTTTCTCCCTAGTCTAAGTTACTCAAGAAAATGTTTGCAGTTCCCTTTGGAGAAGGACTATTTTGTAACTACTTTCCATGACTGTACAGAGGGTCCCAGCTTCCTCTATTCAGTGAGTTCTGTGCCTGAAAGTCATGTCAGGTTTGGAAATGAGCAAGGGATCATGACTTTTTACTGAGGCAGCTACGCTCAGCCTTGACTTCTTATAACACAAGCTAATGGACCTAGTTTGTTGCCCATATATTTTGCTCCTGCTGCTGCTGCTAAGTCGCGTCAGTCGTGTCCGACTCTGTGCGATCCCACAGATGGCAGCCCACCAGGCTCCCCCATCCCTGGGATTCTCCAGGCAAGAAACTGGAGTGGGTTGCCATTAGAGATACTATATTATACTAACCATCTTATTAATAACTCTTTGAGAATCATCTCTGCTCCTTTGCCTACTGCTGCTTCTAGTTATGCTGTGGTTTGCTAACTGCAAAGGGAAGAACAAGAGCCCATTCAGAACCATGAGGAGAAGAGGAAAGAGAAAACCTAAATATTCTCCTCCACTTTGTCTCCCATTCATGGTAGCATTCATTTCTCTTCTGCTCAGGGTTTCTGTTTTCCCTCACAGGAACCTTAGCCATCTTGTCACCCCAGGGATTTCTCACAATTTCTTTAATTCAATAGATCCTAACTGGGTTGGGATTTTGTGCTAATTTGCCATCTCATCAGGAACCAAATATGGCTTTTCTGGTGGGTCAGCTGGTTAAGAATTTGCCTACAATGTGGGAGACATGGGTTCGATCCCTGGGTGGGGAAAGTCCCCAGGAGAAGAAAAGGGCTACCCACTCCAATATTATGGCCTGCAGAATTCCATGGACTGTATAGTCCATGGGGTCGCAAAGAGTCGGACATGACTAAGCAACTTTCACAGGAACCAGATAGAACCAGTGTTTGAATGTAGGCATTCTGACTCCAGAGACCATGCCTTTAGCCATAATGCTATACAGTTTTCTGAACTTTTTTATTTCTTCTTACATATATTTTATTACTTTCCATGTATATGTTTTTGTATGAGCACAGATTACACCTAGGATTTTGGACCATTCCCCCCCCCCGCCCCCCCACTATTTTTATCTCTGAGACTCTTTAAAACATAATAAAAACTATTATCCCTGATAGAGACCTACAAGGATTCCTTATTTTATTTTTTTTTGTTACCCTTCAGCACTTATAGATGATATCAATTTATTGATATACTCTTTTATAAATGATTTTTAATTTGTTTCATGTGCAAGTCTGCTCTTAGTTCAAATGGACTAAAAACTTCTGGCTTTCCTTTCTTTCTTTTATAATTGAATAGAAGGTGATAAATAACTGACATTGACTAAGATATAATATCACTGATATGACTTAGGAACAAAAACTCACGTAGTTCAAAGATTCCAGTTTTACTCATGAATTCGAAGAATGCATCAAGAATTCTGCAGAGAGTTGTAACAATTGTTATGTCTTGTACAGGAAATGGCTGAAATTTCTGATGTTTCTTTATAAACTGTAGTCCATCTGTGACACTACTTTTAATCATGAATTCAAGACAATCCACTAATGATTTATTCATAATTTTAGAATTTTTCAGAAGCCATGACTTAACATAAGGCTCCCATCCCAGATCAACAGGATTCTAATAACAGAAAGCACAAGGTAATTTAATGTAAATAAATAAAATTACAGTGTCCACCTACTTTCTTACTATCTCTTTATTTCACTACTGCCCCTGCCAAATAATGGTTTAGAAGCAGCATTCATTAAAGGGCAAGTGATCAAAAACACCTTAAAGAATTACTCTTCCTGATTTTAACCACAATCCTACACAACAACAAGCAACTGGAGGATTATGTGTAGGGAGCTGTGTTGAGGCTATGCACATGTGGTAAGAGGAACTGCTTACCCAGAAAATCAGCAGTCTAATTTAGTGGTTACACTGAGCTAAGGAGATTAGAACATAGGGCTAATCATGGTTAATAATTTCATGTGTAAGGAACATTCATTCCTTGCTGTATCTTCTATTCCTTACCACTGCATTGGTAATGCATTTCATAAGTCATGAGAGTCATGGGGGCGCTTCCCAAGTGGCTCAGTGGGTAAAGAAACCGCTTGTCAAGGCAGGAGACTCGGGTTCAATCCCTGGGCCGGGAAGATCTCCTGGAGAAGGGCATGACAACCACTCCAGTATTCTTACCTGGAGAATCCCATGGACAGAGGAGCCTGGCAGGCTACAGTCCATAGGGTTGCACAGAGTCGGACATGACTGAAGCAACTGAGAATGCACGCAAGAGTCATAGAGTGGGCATGAAAAGCCTTCAGGGCAAACGTTCCTCGATTGGAAAAATAATTCCTATCAAGTAACTTAACCTATTGAAAGCACTACTTCCGCACGGTTGTGGAAAATACTGACATTCCAATTACTGAGTGGATCGACTAAGCATGTTAGTACCAGTAGTAATATTAGCATTCATATTTACTTCTGGGTTAGGAGGCTTTGCTGCTGCTGCTGCTAAGTCGCTTCAGTTGTGTCCGACTCTGTGCGACCCCATAGACAGCCGCCTACCAGGGGACATAAAATTTCGTAACTACTAGGATAGCCCTGCTGAATCCAGAGGAAACAAAATAAACATAAAATGCTGCAGATAATGACTAAATAATAACTTTTCTTTGTTAAGAAATTTGTATTAGAAACTTACCATATAGACCATTGCACATCGGCTGACAATAGCAGGACTAGCTTGAGCTAGACTGTCCACTTCAAAGATCACTCTGATTTTACTAGTCAAAGTTATTCTCTCGCTGTTTGCTAAGCACAGCGTCCTAGTGTCATCTAGCATAGAATTTAGATTTTCTACCCAGAAGTTATCCACTGGACCATCTAAGACAATCCACTGCCAATCAAAGTCTGGAAAGAAAAATATTTGTAATGTAATTGAGAAAACCCTCACTCTCCTCCCCTTACAATCTTGCTAATTTTCTCTTTTAATTAAAAAGTACTTTCTAATTAAGATAAAGAATGATGTCCTAGAAAAGCCTAGAATGAATGTGCTGAAATGAGTCTCATATATATTAATTGTGAATATTCATAACACATACTTAGCAATACTTTAAACATTGTCTTGGTACTCTTAGTTTGCTGAATTGTATAATTAACCCTTAAAATTTCAATTAGAGAAAGATCCATGAATCTAGTTTTTCCATAACAATATGGTTTGTTTCCCCTTTCAACCCAGGAATATTTTTTGGATATGCTGCCTCTGGGAAATAAAAGGAAATAGGATGTCCTTTGAAGAAAGAATCAAGTAGACAGATGTTAAGAGTATGTCACTTGGGGAACTCATTTTCTTCACTTTACACACTCTACACCCAGCACATTGCTACACAATATTAGAAAATCTATTGGTCAGGATACATGGATCATTATAGAGATTAAAAAAATAGTTAAACACCTGAAATACAAAAGCATCCCAGAAGAACAGGAGAGTAGAGCTGGGATCCAGACAGCCTGCTTGGGCTGAAATAACTGCCTTGGGGAATGTCTCAAAACCCGATGAAAGAAATATTATGCTCAATCATTGTACTCTCCCACATTGAATACCAAAACTGATACACAAAATTCAGGAATCTTAAAAATGTAGAAACAATAGCAGAAATCTCTTTCAAAGTCAGGAACATAAATATGCTACTGGTGGATGTGTCGATATGACGTTCACCATGGAGTAGAGAAAGCCACGACTGGGGCTTCTGCAGTAGACTGCTGGCTCTTTGGAGCAGGGATATTTTCATGTATACTCTCTGTCCCCCTGGCACATAGCAAACTGGCAGATAATGGGTGTACAATTCATTTTAGATGAATATGCTTGGGTTGTATGATTTGGCCTGGGAATGTTTAGATTGTCTGAAAATACTATTGAAGGTTGCCACTGCTACTTCTAACCTGATATTTATTCCTACCTTTAGTATCTACTTGGTTCTTGTGAGATATTAATGGTCATTTGTAAAATGAATGGGCTATGTAAGTGCTAGCATTTATATATATAATTATATAGGTACACTAATATATACAAGTTTTAAATAAACACACGAGGAAAAAATAAATGGTACAAGGACAAAATATCACTCATCAAAAATGTTTTTAAAGATGTAAATAGAGCTCATGTTTGTTCAGTCTTTCTTCTATGTTAATAATCTTTGCTGAATTTATTAATAATACTTACTTTGACTTTCTGGAATTTTAATATCTTTCTCCATCTCCTTCTTAAAAATATGATAATCAGAATCTGCCATATCAGAGAAATCAAGCTTGAAAACCTAAAATATGTAATCAATAATGTTTAAACTTTTATTTGATCATACTTTTGTACTCAAATGGTCTATATGTCAATACACTTTTTTGAGTAATAAAAATATAAGAGGTTTTGCAGCTGAAAGGCCAACATGTAACCAGCACAGTATAATGGAATTGAGTTATGACTACTGATCATTTTCTTTCAGAAAATTCTTTTATTTTAGCTGTTGTTTTCATAAAGATAGTACATACTTTTATAATATTCAAGTACTACAGCAAAGCTCAGAGAATAAATAAAAAGTTCTCTGAACTGCCACCACCTATTAAAAAAAAAGATAGTTGACATTTTGGTGTATGTTTTTCTTAGACTTTCCTTCATGATCGAGTTTTTATATTTTAAGGGACATAAGAATTACCTGCAACGTTATTAAATTCTAACACCTCAACTTTGGAGATTCAGATTGAATTGGTTTGAGATGGAGCCCAAGATTTCCATTTTTAATATGCTCCTCAGGTGATTCAAATACAGGTTGTTATCACGTCAATCTCTGAAGAATTCTGATCTTCATTATCTGGGGGTGCGGCGGGTGTGGGTAATGACCTATTTACCTCCCCAGTGAGGCTGAGTATGATACCATCAGCTGACTGGCGCTGGCTTCCTTTACCACCCAGTGTAGAGGGAGAGAAGACCAAACTCTAGAGCCGTGCGAGGGGCACAGTAAGGCTTGTGAAGAGAGAGACCAAACATTGGTGTGAGCACCATGTTTCAGTCAGGTCTTAAAGCAACAAACAATAGTCAGGTGCTTCTAATTCCCAAGTCTCATTGTGAAGAAGAAAAATAAGTCCAAAGCTATTTCCAATTATTTTTCCTATTACAAAAGTCTGCAATTATCATACCTGTAGATAAAACATGGTGCTCTACTCCATTTTTTCCTCTCTAGATAGATTTTTTTAAATGTGAAATTGTGGGTCCAACATTGTATATTTTAACCTTTAATAAATTCTACTAAATTTCAGTCGGACATGACTTAGTGACTAACAACAACAACTAAAATTCTTTCTGAAAGTTTGTGGCAATAATACTCCATCAATGTGATGAAAGAATGTTTGTTTCTTCACATTTTTGTTAACACTGAATGTTTTAGCTTTCAATATTCTTAAGTATTGATAATTCAATGAGAAAAAAATGTGTCTATCATTGTCATGCTTTTTATTCTTTTTGTCTAATGCTTAGGCTGAACATCTTTACATATGTCTATTGGTAATTTTTATTTTTCTATCAATTTTATACTCATAGCCTTTCCTCATTTCCTTATTTAGTTGCCTAATCATTTCTTATTCATCTTTGAAGTTCTTTTTTTATATTAGGAATATTAGCTCATTGCTTATAATATATACTGTAAATATTTTCTTCCAGACTGGTTTGTTTTAATGTTGCTTGTTGCAATCACTGAAAAAATATTTGCTCATTTATATTTGCAGTCAAATGCTTTTATCTTTTTATTTATAATTTTTGGGTTCCAATATTAGTTATTTCCTAACTCTGAAACTATGTCCCTCAATTTTATTATATTTTAATTATTTTACTTCATATTAATTAATTTAGATTAATTAATTCATCTGGAGTTTTATTTCTGTGTAGGGAGTGAAGTAAAAGTCTTTCTATTTTCACACAGTAAAATGGAATATTATATAGACAGTGGATTAAATAAAAAATGCTTTTCCTGCTGATTAGAATTATTACTTTAGCTTCATACTAAATTCCTATCTATGTTGAATATGCTTCTATTTATTTCCATTTCTCTATTAGTTCCATTTCTGTGTGAGTGCCTTACTATTTTTTTAATTTTTTCAGGACTTGAGTACAATCTTTTCTTTTTACTTCTTTACACCATACACAAAAATTAACTCAAAACAGACCAAAGATCTAAATATAAAAAAATTATAAAAATCTTAGAATAAAACAAGAGACAGTCTTTTGACTTTGAATCATGCAAAGTTTTCTTAAGATATGATACCAAAAGGACAAGTGATAAAAGAAAAAATAGATTGGATTTATAACAGTTAAAAACTTTTGTGTTTCAAATGATACCATCAAGAAACTAAAAAGACTCATAGAATGGGAAAAAAATTATTTGTTAATTGTATAAGGAATTTGATGGGGCTTTCCTGGTGTCTCAGCGGTAAAGAATCTGTCTGCAATGCAGGAGACCTGGGTTTGATCCCTGAGTTGGGAAGATCACCTGGAGGAGAACATGATAACTCACTCCAGTATTCTTGCCTGAGGATCTCATGGACAGAGAAGCCTGGCGGGCTACGATCCATAGGGTTGCAAAGAGCTGGACATGACTGAAGCAACTTAGCACACAAGCAAGGAATTTGATAAGGGACTTATATCCTGAAGATATTTTTAAAAATTCTTAAAACTCATTAATTAAAAGATAGATAATCAAACCAACAAGAAGATACAGTAATTGTAAATATATGCACCCAACATAGGAGCACCAACATAGAGCAAATGATAACAAATATAAAGAGAGAAACTGGCAGTAATGCAATAGTTTGACACTCTACCTACATCAATGGACAGATCATTTAGACAGAAAATCAATAGGAAAATGTGTTTTGTGTGTGTGTTTAGTCACTCAGTCATGTCTGACTCTTTGCGACCCTTTGGACAGTAGCCCGCAGGCTCCTCTGTCTGTGGGAATTTTGAATCAAGAACACTGGAGTAGGTTGCCATTTTCCTCCTCCATGGGATTTTCCCAACCTAGGGATAGAATTGGTGTCTCCTGCTTTGCAGGTGCATTCTTTACCAGCTGAGGCATCAAGGAAGCCCAGCAGGAAAATATTGGCCTTAAGTGATACATTAGACCAATGGATTTAATAGAAATATAGAGACTATTTCATCCCCAAACAGCAGAATTCACATTCTTTTCAAGTGCACATGAAACTTTATCCAAATAGATTACATTTAGGCCACAAAACAGATAACAATAAATTTAAGAAGATTTAAATAATACTTAGCATATTTTCTAACAACAGTGGGAAGGAGATGAATTATTCAATTGTGTCAGAACAATTTTACATTTGGGAAAAAATTAAGTTAAACACATACAACAAAATAAATTATATTAATACACAGATGAAAATTTTAAAATGTTTATTATATGTTTGTTTTTAAGCAACCAGTGATATAACAATAATATTAGAATAGGGAAAGGTGTTACTGAAACGTTAGGATGTACAAAAGAATATATTGTAAACTTATTTTCATTGATTGTCAAAAATAAGTATAGCACAGATGACAAATACATTTTTAATTCTTTTAAACATACCATTCTCATATCAATGTGAAAACAGCAATAATACAACAAATTTTATTTCCTTAGGACAAATTACTAGGAACAGATTTCTAAATCAAACAAAATGACAAGTTAAAACTATCAATATGTATTTCCAAAACTACCACCAGACATGTATGAATCTCTACTTCACAACCTTATAATTATGGAATATTAGTTCTCTATTTCTAAAAAGTTTTCCTAATCTGCTTTGTTTCAAATATTATCTTTTTTGTTATTACACTTTAGTATAGGATAAATATGGAGAAGGAAATGGCAACCCACTCTAGTACTCTTGCCTGGAGAATTCCATGGATGGAGAAGCCTGGTAGGCTACAATCCATGGGGTCACAAAGCGCTGGACATGACTGAGTGACTTCACATTCTTTCTTTCTATAGTTCCTTTTGGAGAAAGAAATGGCACCCCACTCCAGTGTTCTTGCCTGGAGAATCTCATGGACGGAGGGATCTGGTGGGCTGCACTCTATGGGGTTGCAAAGAGTCGGATACGACTAAGCAACTAACATACACACACTCACACACACATAGGGTAAATACAGTATATAGTAAATGAAATTCACTACTAACCTGTACTTACTACTAATGAGAATATAAACTTACAGGTTTTTTTTGCTATTCATATTTATTCTTTGGTGAATTTTGTATTAAATAGTTTACACTTTTTACTGAAGCATTTTTGAATCTCATTAGTTTGGAAGTTATATTGGTGGTGCTGGGATCATTAGGTTATCCTCTACTTATGCTTAATCCACTGTGTTTTTCTTTAAAAGCAAGTATCTTTAACTTTATTTTTATCATTTATTAATCATTTTAAAACATAATGGTACACATACACAATGGGAATGTAAATTGGTACAGTCACTATGGAGACCAGTATAGAGTTCCTTAAAAAACTAAAAATAAAACTACCATATGACCCAGCAATCCCACTTGTGGGCATATACTTAGAGGAAACCATAATTCAAAGAGATATATGCACCCCAATGTTTATTGCAGCACTATTTCTAATAGCCAGGACATGGAAGCTATCTAAATGTCCATCAACAGAGGAACAGATAGAGAAAGATAATGGTACATATATACAAGGGAATATTACTCAGCCATAAAAAATACCATTTGCAGCAACATGCATGGACCTAGAGATTGCCATACTGAGTGAAGTTTAGTCAGAAAGAGAAAGACAAATATATGATATTGCTTACATGTGGAATCTAAAAAACAGAGTGCAAAATGAACTTATCTACAAAACAAAAATAAAGTTACAGATGTAGAGAACAAACTTATAGATACCAAGGAGGGAATGGATGGGTGGCATGAATTGGGAGACTGGAATTGATGTGTACACACTACTGTGTATAAAGAGATAACTAATGAGAACTTAATGTATAATATAGCACAGGGAACTCTACTCGGTGCTCTGGGTGAGCTAAGTGGGAAGAAATCTAAAAACAAGGCAATATATTTATATGTATAACTGATTCACATTGCCGTACAGCAGAAACTAACACAACCCTGTAAAGCAACTATATTCCAATAAAAATTAATTAAGAAAACCCCAACAATCCACAAGGTAAATTTTCTGTTTTTTAATAGCTCATTGCTTTTCCCTTTTTTAAACTGATCATAGTAATTTTAAATTTGAATCAGTTCTAATGAGACGGATAAAACTGGAGCCCATTATACAGAGTGAAGTAAGCCAGAAAGATAAACACCAATACAGTATATTAACGCATATATATGGAATTTAGAAAGATGGTAACGATAGCCCTATATGCAAAACAGAAAAAGAGACACAGATGTACAGAACAGACTTTTGGACTCTGTGGGAGAAGGCAAGGGTGCGATGTTTCGAGAGAACAGCATCAAAAGATGTATATTTATCAAGGGTGAAACAGATCACCAGCCCAGGCTGGATGCATGAGACAAGTGCTCGGGGCTGGTGCACTGGGAAGACCCAGAGGGATTGGGTGGAGAGGGAGGTGGGAGGGGGGTTCGGGATGGGGAATACATGTAAATTCATGACTGATTCATGTCAATGTATGGCAAAAACCACTACAATATTGTAAAGTAATTAGCCTCCAACTAATAAAAATAAATGGAAAAAAATTTACGCTAGTAAGTATCTAATGAAACCTTGATATCAAACATTAGATAAACAATGAAATAATCTATAATACTGAAACAAAATAAACGTTCCATACTGAACTTACATTAGCGGAATCTGAGATTTTTGATTCGCTGTCTTTGTTTGAGTATTTTGTAGTGTTTAAATATACATAATTCCGAATTGTTGCTGATAATAATCCATCAGCCCATTCCATAGTATTAGGATCCAGATGTCCATATAGTTCACTGAGAGTGATACACTTTGGATTTAAAATACAAATATCTATTTTACCTCTTCTTCCTGAAATCTGAGAAAAATCCAGTGTGATTTTTAAAGACACTGACTATAGAACAATTGTCTAATTTTTTGTATCATTCCTACTAGAGGTTTTAAGAACGATCTTTCACTTGAAAGAAGGATTCTTTATAAAGGTAGCACTTTGCAAGACATAGTAAAAATTGACTTATTAAAATTAGCCATTATATCAAAATAATTATTTTTTAAAATTACGAATACTACAAATGAGGCTTCCCTGGTAGCTCAGCTGGTGAAGAATCCACCTGCAATGCAGGAGACCCTGGTTTGATTCCTTGGTCAGGAAGTTCCGCTAGAGAAAGGATAGGCTACCCACTCCAGTTTTCTTGGGCTTCCCTGGTGGTTCAGATGGTAATGAATCTGCCTGCAATGGGGGAGACCTGGGTTTGATCCCTGGGTTGGGAAGATCCCCTGGAGAAGGGATTTGCTACCCACTCCAGTATTCTGGCCTGGAGAATTCCATGGACAGAAGAGCCTGGCAGACTACAGTCCATGGAGCCGCACATATCTGGACACGAGTGAGCAACTTTCACAGACACACAAATGAATCCCTAGGAAAAGAATGGGGGAAAAAAAAAACCCATCATGCTTCTAAATGGACTTTGTAGATGTAATGAAGGGACATATCTGGAGATGGGAAAATTATCCTGATTATCCAAGTGAATTCAATCTAATTGCATGAGTTAAAATTGGAAGAGGAAAGCAAGGGAGCAAATCAGAAACAGGGCAGTACAGAAGGATCTAGAGGTACGGACAGTGTGCTGAGATCTGAGAGAGGCCTCTGGAAGGTAAGGGCAGCTTCCCACTGACAGACAGCAAGGAAACGGGACCTACTTATTTATGCCAACACCTGAATGCACAAGGGAAAGAGTTCTTCCCTAGAGCCTCCAGAAAGGAACTCAACCTGCTGACATCTGGATCATAACCCAGTGAGACCCATACTGGACTTCTGACTCCCAGAATCGGAAGATAATAAATGAGTGTAGTTTTAATCCATGTCATTGTAGTTATTAGTTATAGCACCAATAGAAAATGAACATTTTCTATTTCATATATATATATATATATACAATGAAATATAAATATATATTCAGTATATATAATATATATACTACTATGTAAGTTTAGTCGCTCAGTCATGTCCGACTCTTTGCGATCCCATATATTATAGACCAACAGGCTTCTCCATCCACAGGATTTTCCAGTCAAGAGTACTGGAGTGGGTTGCCATTTCCTTCTCCAGAGGATCTTTCCGACCCAGGGATCAAACCTGGGTCTCTCACATTATAGGCAGATACTTTACCGTCTGAGCCACCAGGGAAGTCCCATGTATTATATAAATATACTCAGCCATAAAAAGAATAAAATAACATCATTTGCAGCAACAGAGATGGACCTAGAGATTGTCATATTAAGTTAAGGAAGTCAGAGAAAGACAAATGATATCATATGATATTGTTTATATATGGAACACTAAAACATGATACAAATGAACTTATTTACAAAACAGAAATAGACTCATAGATAAAGAAAACAAACTTATGGTTCCCAACTAGGAAGGGGGGGCTGGGATAAGGACTTCGGGATTAAAATATACACACTGCTATATATAAAGGGCTTCCTGGTGGTTCAGGCTGTAAAGAATCTGCCTGTGATGCAGGAGACCTGGGTTCAATCCCTGGGTCGGGAAGATTCCCTGCGGAAGGGAATGGCCACCCACTCCAGTATTCTTGCTTGGAAAATTCCATGAACAGAGGAGCCTGGTGGGCTACAGTCCATGGGGTGGCAAAGAGTTGGACATGACTAAGTGATTAACACTTTCACTGTATATAAAATAACCAACAAGGACTTACTATATAACACAGAGAAATAAGTATCTTGTAATAACCTATAGTGGAAGAGAATGTAAAAAAGAATATATATATATATACACACACACACACACATATATATATAACTGAATCACTGCTGTACACCTGTAACTAACCTGCAACTGACAGAACTGTAAATTAATTATATTTCAATTAAAAAAACTTTCCATTAAAAAAAATCCCATTATGCCTCATCCAGGAACACAATCAATATTTGAGCTAGGATGTGTTTTGTCTGGAGTCAGAGTTGCTTATAGAAGTCAGGAAGAGTAAGATACAGTTTTAAGCTTCAGGTCATAATTGGTACTCAGACTTTATTTACAACATTCTAATTTCCCTGATGCTGGGAAAGATTGAAGGCAAAAAGAGAAGGAGAAGGCAGATGATGAGATAGTTACATAGCAGCACTGAATCAATGGACATGAATCTGAGCAAACGCCAGGAGACAGTGAAGGACAGAGAAGCCTGGTGTGCTGCAGTTCATGGGGTTGCAAAACGGCGGACACGACTTAGTGACTGAACACACACATACACAGCCTGTCTGGTGGCTACTGGAATAACAGATGACTGTGTCACTATTATGCATTTCAGGCAGGAAGAGTGGCAGGCATTTCTTATGAAAACTGCAAGAAGGCTACAGACCCACAGAAGCCTAAAATAAGAAATTTTGGATCAAGACATACAACAGACCTTCTAAGGCTCTAGGGAGAAGCTAAGGTAAGAATGTTTGAGATTAAAACATTCAAAAGCAGCTGCATGTACAAGGGAATTGTGAAAGTCAGATGCAGACCCAGTAGAGATGCAGCCATAGGGGGAGGGAAAAAAAAAACAGTGAAAAGACTTATATTTTCATCTCAGGCTGATCCTTTGGCTCAGTGAAGAACTATCCCAGCAGACAGCAAGTCTGTAAAGCCTGAGAAATGTGGCTCTTTTTATGAACACTCAGTTTTCAACAATAAAAATAAATCACAAGGAATACAAAGAAACATGAAAACCTGTTCATCCAAAGTAATAAACTAAACAGAAAACATCCCTGAGGAAACTCAGATATTGAACATAATAAAAAAAGATTTTAACTGTAGTAAATATACTCAAAGAGATGAAGAAAATCATAGCCAAAAACTAAAGGAAATGAGTAAAATGACATGAGAAAAAGTAGGGAATATAAGTAAACAGAAATTATAAAAAGGAACCAAATAGAAATTACAGAGCTGAAAATACAGTGGCTGAAATAAAAAATTTCAGCAGAGGTAATCAGTTAATTTGAGCAGCCAGGAAAAAGAATCAGAAAATTTGAAAATAGGACTATTGAAATTACCTTGTTTGAGATCATAAAACAACTCTCAATACATTTTAGAATATTGAAATTAATATTCTAAATATTCTTCTCCAACTTCAAATGAATAAAAACAGAAATCAATAACAAAAGTTGGAAATTTTTCCAATACATAGAAATTTTAAAATATACTCCTAAACAACCAATGAGACAAAGAAGAAATGGAATTGAGATGAATGAAAATAAAAACACAACATACCAACACTTCTGGAATACAGTGAAATTAATGCAAAGAAGAAAAAGTACAGCTATAAACACCCACAGTAAAAGAGAAAAAAAGACCTCAAATCAACAGTCTAATTTAAACTGTAAGGAACTAGGAAAAGAAGAGCATGGTGAATTCAAGATCAGCAAGAAGAAGGAAATAATGATCAGAGAATAGATAAACAGAGAATAGAAAAACAATAGAGAGAACCAATATGAGCAAAAGCTGGTTGCTTGAAAAGATCAACGCAATGGACAAACTTTTAACTAGACTGCAAATAGAAAACAAATAACAGAAATAAAAGCATGGACATTACTACTGCCGTGCAGATTTAAAGGATTATAAGAAAACATTATGAACAATTGTGTGCCAACAAATTATATAATCTAGATGAAACAGGCAAATTCCTAGAAACACAGACAACGACCAAAACCTGACTCAAGAAGAAATAGAAAATCTCAACAGATCTATAACCAGTAAAGAGATGAATCAGTAACCAAAAACCTCCTAAAAAGTAAAGTCCAAACCTAGATATTAGATGAGCTTGATGAAACATTTAAAGAAGTATTAACATCAAAGCAAAAAATAAAAAGGAGGGAACAGGTTTTAACACAGTCTATGAGGCCCCCTACGTACCCTGATTCCAAGTCCAGACAAAGATACCACAAGAAGAGAAAACTACAGACCAGTATATATATATAAAGCACTGGCAAACTGAACTCAACCAAATATCCATCAAGGGATGAACAGATAAACAAACTGTAATGAATGGATAAACAAATATTCCACATAATCTAATATTACTCAGCCATAAAGTAGAATGAAGTACTGATACATGCTACATCTTGGATGAACCTCAAAATCATACGTGAAAGCACCCAGACATAAGAGGTCTCATATTCCATGATGTCTTTTATATGAAATAATATGAATAATCAGATGAAGCAGGGCAAAGGCTAATAGCACTTTGCCAAGAGAATGCACTGGTCATAGCAAACGCCCTCTTCCAATAACATAAGAGAAGACTCTACACATGGACATCACCAGATGGTCAACATTGAAATCAGATTGATTATATTCTTTTCGGCCAAAGATGGAGAAGCTCTATACAGTCAGCAAAAACAAGACCAGGAGCTGACTGTGGCTCAGATCATGAAATCCTTATTGTCAAATTCAGACTTAAATTGAAGAAAGTGGGGAAAACCACTAGACCGTTCAGGTATGACCTAAATCAAATCCCTTATGATTATACAGTAGAAGTGAGAAATAGATTTAAGGGACTAGATCTGACAGACAGAGTGCCTGATGAACTATGGATGGAGGTTCATGACATTGTACAGGAGACAGGGATCAAGACCATCCTCAAGAAAAAGACCATCCTCAAAAAATGAATGTCTGAGGAGGTCTTACAAATAGTGGTGAAAAAAGAGAAGCAAAAAGCAAAGGAGAAAAGGAAAGATTTACCCATTTGAAGGCAGAGTTCCAAAGAATAGCAAGGAGAGGTAAGAAAGCCTTCCTTAGTGATTAGTGTGAAGAAATAGAGGAAAACAATTGAATGGGAAAGACTAGAGATCTCTTCA